ATGGGAGGAACAGGGAGGTCAAGATTGCCACCATTGCTTCTCCTACCTTGAATGATCATGAGTCTCTCAGTTTGAAGAAGACTACTACGCTCTAATGGGGCATGTGTACAAAATATATATTTAATTTTATCAATCATTATGTCCATGTTAGTTGACAGAGGTGCAAAATGTGCTTACAAATATGCTCATATGGTTATCAAAATTCTTGATAAGGGTGCCTTTTCTTTATGCCAACTTTACCAAAGAAATCTGTTGGTAGTTCCTGCATTTTTCAAGAGCATTTACACAATCACCGCCAATAAATATAATAATTTGCAAAAAATTAATCCGGAGGAGTAACATTTGGCTTGTAAAGTAACCTGGTTGACAGCTGAAACATATAATGGTGGCCTGTGTGTGCATTCACACACGTTGTTGCTGTTAGTCGCAAAGTTGTGTGCGACCCATCACAAGTTGGAATTAAGATTGCCAGGAGAAATATCGACAACCTCAGATATGCAGATGATACCACTCTAATGCAAGAAAGTTAAGAGGAACTAAAGAGCCTCTTGATGCGGGTGAAGGAGGAGAGCGCAAAAGTTGGCTTGAAACTCAACATCAAGAAAACTAAGCAACCAGTCGGATCATTTCCTGGCAAACAGATGGGGAGGAGATGGATGTAGTGACAAATTTTATTTCTTGACTGCAGCCAAGAAATTAAAAGACACTTGCTCCTTGGGAGGAAAGCTATGGCAAATCTAGACAACATACTAAAAAGCCGAGACAGAACCCTGCCAACAAAAGTGCATATAGTTAAGGCTAATACAGGGCTAAAGTTCCATTGAAAATAGAATGATTTTGAAAAAACCTTCCTTGAGTAGCTTTTTCTACACAGCTCATCCTTTCTGCCCATTCTAAACACATTCTACCCATCAAAATCATGCCAGGACACTGCGTTTTTGCAACCCTAACCCTACCCTGGTGCACTCCCCTAACCCTAAAACAGGGTGAAAGTTCCTTGGAAAAGAGGGCGATTTTGAAAAAGCCTTTCTTGAGTAGCTTTTTCTGCACAGCTCATAAATTTTGCCCATTCTAAACACATTCCAACCATCAAAATCATACCAGGACACCTCATTTTTCTACCCCTAACCCAGTGATGGTGAACCTTTTTAGAGACCAAGTGCCCAAACTGCAACCCAAAACCCACTTATTTATTGCAAAGTGCCACTGCGACACAGCAATAAAACCCGAAAACTGAGGTTTTAGTTTAGAAAAAACAGCTCACAGCCAGTCCAAGCAAATATATATGTATCTTTGGCAGTGCACTGACCAGCCATGTGAAAGCTCAGATGAGCCGTGGCTAATGAGTCACAGCTTGTGACATCATCACCTGGCACCACTACTCCTGAGCATGCGCATCCCCCCTATGTACGTTGTTATCTGATCCTTGGCTGCTGGGGCAATGCTGGGCCGACTCGGCTTGCGTGCCGACAGAGAGGTCTCTGCCTGCCCACTGTGGCACACGTGCCATAGGTTCACCACCCCTGTCCTATAGTCATCCAGTGTCCAATGTAAAGCACTTCCTTTCCTCTTAATCTGACTCTTTGTCTTTCTCCGTACTGCTTTAAAAAAAGAGGACAACTTTTTATCACAATCCTATTGCTTATCTTTTTTGCATTCCCTTCACTCACGATCAGGATGTCATCTACTCTTTAGGAATGGATTTTTCTGTAGCTCCCAATTCAGCCTGTGCAGGAACATTCCTGGGGTGTAGTTGAGGCTTGCTAGCAGATCTGCTAAATGGAGTGGCAAATACGATCAGATAGCTTGACTCTATGGCTGATTCTAAATGTCGCAATCTTTGATTAAACACAGAGAAAGTCATTTTTACACTGACTATGTTGGCCAGGTTACATAGCACATCATTAACCATTCTTAATGGATGATCAAGTACTTTGTTCACAGGTTCAGGGTCACAACTTTCCTGAGAATATTTGTGTGATAACCAGGCTTGCTAGGTAGATAAAAGCATGGTATAGCATGCAATCAAAAGGAACTCTGCCCTTATTTTATGAGTTGGTTTCTGCAGTTTATCTAGTGCTCTTTACACCCTTGCTGGTTCCTCACTGGAGTCCACTGAAAAAGTGTTGCTGTTGGCCTCATGCAGTTTTCTCTTTGAAAAATATTCCCCTTTTCTAATTCCCCCCTTTTTTTAGGTACTGTGATGACCTGACTCACTGGTCTGCTGCTAGTTCATTGTAGTTGAATCAGTTGCATGGTTCCCAGCTGTGGACTGTGAACTCTCTTTCAGTGACAGACTAAGCTATTCTTATTTTTCTTTTATTTGCGAACCTTATATCCTTTACTTGTCCACAGGAGGGAGGTTATTCTAATTGTACATAACAAGCATCTCGCCACGTGGTTTATTACATGGCTTCACATTTTTTAATTTCAGTGGCAGCACTTTGCAGCTGAGACCACAATTGAGTTGCAAGTGAACTTCTTCCCAAAAATATTATATTGGGGAATGCACCAGTCATTTCATTACCTTTCACTATTTGGACATCATGCTTTGGTGATTTCAAAGTCAGATTTAGATATATTTATAGCTTTCAGACTCAGTCTTCCAGCACCTTTGTCAGTCTCTGAAGCATCCACACACTCCTGCGTTAAATTTGGAAGTAATTTAGTTTGCCATATTTTTTTATTTTCTTGAATTTATTATCATCTTCTCTACTAATTTAAACTAAAACAACAATTATTCCTGAGACATCAGCTATACTGGGTTAGTATCTTATGCCTCCTGGAGCATTTTTAACTTAATCCTTGATTTTTTCTTTTGCCATATAAATCTCAAAACTTGTGTATTTAAATAATCAAAAAACCTTTTTTTCAATTTTTATAGGAATTGTTTGGAATAAAAACAAAAGCTTAGATAATATATTCATTTTAACTATGGCTATTCTTCCCAAAATTGGCAATTGTAAGTTAGCCCATTTTTCTAAATCGCTTTTAGTCACCTTAAACAACATAATTATCTTCTTTCAATGTAGCACATCTGGCTGTTAAAGAAATTCCCAAATATTTAACCTTTTTAACTATTTAAAGAACTACTTGTTCCATCAAAGTTGTTTTTTGCTCCAGTGAGATTCTTGACTAGTAGTTTAGACTTTTCTCTATTTATTTTCATCCTGGTAACTTCACCATAGTCTTCCATTCTTTTTTAAAGTTTAAGCGCCATTACCAAAGGTTCTTCTAAGATAAAAACTAGGTCGTCTGCAAATGTTTGGAGTTTGTAGCTTTCATCTCTGATTCTAGCACCTTTAATGTCCATATCTTCCGTAACACTTCTATTTAAAACCTCTAAAATTAGTATGAATAACAATGGTGATAAGGGGCATCCTTGTCTTGTACCTTTCTGAATATCAATACTCTCATATTCTTTTCATTGTTGTCCATTTTATTTTTTTAATATTGTTTCCTACAATATAAACATTGCATCCCGAATTCACCCATGGCTATGACTGAGATATTCACGGACAGTATGTGTGGGTACCTATAATATTCTGCCCCTCTCTTTACAAACTTCTATTGCCCTGTCAATTTCCAGGTAACCATTTAGCAGACCCTTTCTCTTATTGATGCATACTCAATTATTAGCAAGAACTGAGTAAGGTAACATTGCACTGCTCGTCTACTTCCGTTTAGAGTATGATGGGAGCAGAGTACAAGTATGTATGTGGGATGCCACTGGTATTAAACATCCACATTAACCAGTATGTAAGAGTATTCAATAAGGTTTACAACCATTACTCTATATGCTTCTGTAAACTTGCAATCGAAATTATTTATAACTAGACTGAGACATGCCATCTTTGAACTCTGTGTGAGAGGCACCAAGCGGGCAAACGCGATCTCTCACAGAAGTATGTGAGGCCTTTTCACATGGTTGTTGCCCTCCATCGGCTCAATTGTATTTTCCAGACGTTTTCTCGGTTCCTTTAGTCCAAGGAAAGTCTGGTATTAAATTTTAAATCGCTACAAAAGGGAACAGCAGCTTCGTGCACAGCCGTAAATCGGCCATACTAAGGTAATGTTACAGCGGTACCTTGTGCTTAGCGAATTTATAGAAAAATCGAGAAACGCAAATTCCAGGATAAAAACCCGTAAAGACACATTTCCTCCCGCAACGAAAACGGAGGAAGCTGCAGTAAAAGAGCGGGTTAAATCCGTCATGTAAAGAAGTTCCATGTATTCGTGATTATTTCACAATAATTGTGAGAATATAATTCAGAGTTTACATCGTTTAGAAATCAATAGTTCTACTGCATCGTCGAGCTCCGTGTAGCTCTCCCACAACCCCCGTTGCGCCTCTTCTAGCTCATCCCGTTATCCCAGCCTCTTAGGGGGGAAATAACCTCTTCAGGGGGGTCCCTCGCGCCTTTCATCTGTCCCGGAGATTTTCTCTCAGCTCCGCCTGCCAAAGCTGAGTGAACGCCCGGACCGGCCCTGAGCCCTTAAGGAAGACGGCCGTCGCCACCTCCCGCTTCGTGCCTCGCTGCGTCCACCGTCCCGTCCCTGGCCGCCTCCTAAAAAGCAGGCGGCCGCCTCCCGCTGCCAGAGCCGCGCCTCGGCAGGCGGGCGGCAAGCCGCGGCGCCACGCCCCTTTGCCCGCGCGAGCCCCCGCTGCCGTGGTAACGCTGGCGCCAAGACGCGTCCTTTCTTCTCTGGCTGCTGGACGGTCCCGCCTACTCGGTGCCGTCGCTCAACGGGCCTAACGGACGCCACGCCCCCTCTTGGCCCTCACACGTCGCCTCGCTTTCCTGGCAGGGCGCCTATGGAAGGTGAGACCGACTCTTCCGTTTGTGTAGTATCTAAGGAGGTGGGTAAAACAACCAACAAATTTATTCAAAGACTGTGCTCCATGAGGCGTTAACTAAGCGCCCTTTCCTACCATAGCCACAGCTTTCACTTCCGGGTCTGTGTGGAAGCCGCTTCCGTTTCGGGGGAGGGGCCTGTTGGTGACGCCGCTGAGGGCTCTGCCGTACCCTCGCAGGGATGATGTGATCAAAGTTTGGTACCGATTAAAAGGGGGAATGGGCGGCGGGAGACCGTGCAGGGGGGTGCTGGTGAGAGTACATTGGGATGTGGCTCGCGCGCGGGATGCCAGCGTCGCATACTGGTTTGAGCCTTTTCAAGTTTAGTTGCCATGCAATGGCCTAATACTAGCTTCTGGGATTAGGTACATTACAGAAGCGGAGAGAGGGAAAAAGAAGGCTTCTTTCGGTGACGTGCACAATATTTTTTTTTTCATACTGAAACTATGGTCTTAAAGACTGCGGCTGACATGACTTCCCAAAATTATCATTTTTTAGATATAGTGAAAATGTTTAGCTGTCGACCAGAAAGAAGGTGGTAAAGCTTGGCACTTGGGTGTTGTTTTGAAATACATTTACCAAAAAATAAAAAGAAAGAAAAAGAAATAAAAGGACGACAAATTGAGTGAAATCCTATTCTGAAAGTAATTCATAACAATCAATTTGTCCGTTAAAGGTACTACTTGGGTAAGAGTTCTGTAATTATTACAGATTTCTTTACAATAAGGGGAATTAATCTTTTAGAATATTTATACATTGCTGTTTAACCAAACCATTTACTGGATTGTTATTTATTAAACAAAATGAGTGTAAATGTGTTAAATTTGTAGTAAACACTAGTAAATAAGACTGCAATTCTGTATGCATTTACTTGGAAATAAGCATTGTTAAACTCAGTGAAACAGTTCTGTGGATATGTATAGGATTGGGCTGTAAAAGCAGCAGATTAAAATGGCCCAAGTTCAGAAATGTGAAAGCCTAGGAGAATGCCTTAACTTGCAAGAAAATAAGGGCAACACTGAGAAAAATTAAAGCTAGTTATCTCTGAATCAGTCTCATTGAATGCAATAGGAATTACTTCTGAGTAGACTTGCATAAGATTCTAACTTTCGTTGGAATGTGACCTTAGTGTAATAGGTGGGAGAGCTGGAACTGGAATTTAGGGTTTGGAATCCAATTGTGTTCCCACCTGGGGAGTTTTCCACTGAACAGAGTGCTACTTTTCTGAATAAGCAGAAAAGCAGCTTGCCCATGAGTGCTTTTACAGCCTAATCCTATGAACCAAGTTTTATAATATTTATTATACTAAGTCGCTTTTTGTGGTTTGTGCATTTTTATAGAAAATGATCATACAGTTATGGAGGTATTTGTACACAAATATTTTCCGATTTTGGATAAAATGGTTCCTAAGACAACTTACTGGAAAATGTGAACTTCAGCGTATCTGTGATGGTTCAAGGAAAAATGCAGAAAGGACACTAAAAATAGGTAATATGTGTGAAACATACAAGAATATTATACACAGATTTTTATGTTTTAATCTCTAAAATTAGTTTGATAACCACAAGTCAAGATATATTTTTGCCTTTTCCCTAAAGAATTGTTGTCTTTAATTTCCTTTTATTTCTTTGTGGGGTGAGGTTCCTGTACCCAAGATGGGTGATTCATTTTAAATAGTTGCTTTAAAATCTCACCTCACTATTCTGCTCATGTGCCCCGTCCAGCTAGTTTGTGGGGTTTATTTCTTCCCCCATTGGACTTTGGTTTTAAAACCCTTTTGGTTTTAAATCCATACTTTCCTTTAGAGTTTGGTCTATCATTATCTTCCCCTCTCCTTTCATATGTAGCCCTTTATGCCCTTGGTCCTATGGTTCTTTGTCTCCTTTCCTAGGCTTTGTTGTCTTTTTTGCCTTTCCCTTGGAACTGAATGGCTCGGTCAATGGCAGCCAGGTATTCCTCTTCCTGTCCTGTGTTTCTCTAGCATCAGGCATCTCAGTGACTTCCACAGACTTTGTCACCACCATCACAGAATTTAATACATTATTACATATATATATATATATATATATATATATATACACACACACACACACACACAAATGTGTTTCAATTTTGAAATATTACAGAACCAAATTTTGGGATCTTTAATTTTTAGCAAAAAATGTCCTTATAATTGAAAAATTTCCATGTTCATGCTTGCTACTACAATAATATGGATGTATATACGATATAGAAGAGTGTTTCCATGGCTCTTTAGCATGGAAGTAGCTAAAATGCAACTGTAGAAAAGAAACCACTTCTTTCTTGCTAGTTTTTGTTTGATTTTTAGTCAATAGTTAACATGTTTTTAATGTTGCATGGAGGACTTAAGCCAGCGTCACAGTTGTGCCTATTAATCAGGTTCTTTGAATAACTTCTACATTTTTATCTTATTACAGAGCATTCATTGGAAACATCAAAGTGTAAGGTAGGTTATCTTTTATATTATACACAGGATCTAAAAAGGAGACTAAGAGTTTGTGTGTATCAAGCAAGATTTTTGTCTGTCTGTTTGCTTTGAAAACAACTATGATGTATCGACACTAATTTTGACATTCACATTAATTTCAAAATCAGTTGCTGCCTTCATGGGTGTATGTGTATTAGCTGAATGGGAAACATACATTTAAAGCACCTGAACTAGTTGTTCTGATGTGTGGATCCTGCCCTCAGAAGTCAACCTTTTCTTTTGTGTTACTTTTTGAGAAGGGCTTTTCAAAATTTTATACTCAGTTGAGCTGTCTTCTAAGTAAATAAGCATAGGATTGGGTTGAATTTTGTGTCAGCAGAGCACTTTGAGGATAAACGTTAAAAGTGTATGATAACATTGCTTCAGCTTTGGTCACATTAATGCAAAATTATGAGCCAGAATTGATGGCTTGTGCTAGTTTCTGTGAACGAGCAGTTTGATGTGCATGAACTTGTGCACTCCCTTCACATGAGCGGAGACACAAAAACTCCAGGCAAGAATACATTTTTCCTCAGAGATACAATTTTGTATATAAGTACATTTATGCATATTTAATTGAATGATTAATGGCATAATCCTATGGCTGCTGATGCTTTCAAGACAGGCACATAGTACCATCCCTGACCTCACAAAAGTGTTCCAAGGTTATAGCGGGGTCTTTGATTGTAGAATGCCATTCTTTTACTCTTAACAGCTGGTGCTGTCCTTTCCGTACAAGTTGTGACTGAGGTTGCAAGTGCAACTTTGGAGTCAGCACTCGGGCAGTAGTTAGTAAGGCTTTATCAGATTACGGCGAATGCTGGTGGTATCCTAGCCTCTGCTCTGTGTCTCTTGAGGGGTGGTAGAAGTGCAGGGACAGTCCTCACTTCTGCATACCTCGAACAATTACATGCCCCTAATCCTCTGAGATTGAAAACAGAATTTATCAGTTGAATTCTTGCAGCCGTTATTATTATAATTATCATTGATGCAATGCATTTAGTGCTACCATTGGACTGAATTTTTTGTAATGATCTTCTGATGTTCTTTGAAGTTTATAGTAATGGTTTTTATCAATGAAGTGTATGTTAATACTGAAGATTGTTTTATGTCTATCAGGCTTTACAAAAGGCTGTGTGCACTACTGAAGAAGAAGTTGCAAAATGTGTAGCAGAAATCATACAGAAAAAGAAGATTAATATTCAGAAAGATACAACGTATGTCTGCTACTATCTCTAATACTTTCTTTGAGGCTGGCAATCATCTTTTGCTCTTACAGATACTGTTTGGTAGATTAATCAAAGATTTTTTGACTAATGTGATCCAGATAATGTATTGTGGCTGCTAAGACTTCAGCTGAATTCTTAAGATAATCTGCTTAATATAGTGTAATTTTAAATATATTAATCTTGACATAAATAGACCATGATCTGAGCAGAGTCCATCTTCACTGAAATCAGTGATAGTTTTACTGTTGTTTTCTGTGTCATACATATTTTTAGATTAGCTCTGTGTAGTAGTCTAATGTATCTGAAGAATTGAAATACATTAGAAGGCTCATCAAACTTGACAACATTTTTTTACATACCCAGTTCTTGTAACTAGACCACATGGCTTTATGAATAGTGTTCTCAGTGATTTGAAATGGGTAATACTCTGTTAAACGCGTGGCTACTAATGCATTCTCAGAATTAGTCCATATTCTGAACTGTAATCTAATGAGCAGTACACTGCTTGCACATCCAAAATGTTGAAGAAATTAAAGGCTACTGTGGCATAAGGAATATCACTCCTCTCTGCTGGCCATGGGAAGAGGTTCATGGGTTTGTTCTCACTCTTCTTTTGAATGAAGCAGAAAGTGGTGGGGCACAGCTGCACCAGAAATGAGAAGTTATGTATGGAGTACCGTTACAGGTTTCTCTCCCTTCCCTCATAATCATGTTCAGTAAAGCTGCAATCCGTTTTCCTAAATGTCAGCAGTCTGAGATTAACTGGTCACCATTCATTGGTATAAGTAGGATTTTTTGCATAACTCCAGTTGATTATGGACAAGCTTCTCCATTCCCCATATAGTTCCAAGGCATTGATGGTGGATGTGTTTGCTCATGGTAGTCATTTAGGGCGATTTTAGCATGTTTAGTTTGGTAGGTCCAGTGTTAGGAGGGCTTGTTTTTGAAGTACATTGCATATTTGGTATATACCCTGAAGCAATGAAAGGAGGCAGTTTATCAGTGTGAGAGAATCTAGGAGGGAGGTCTGTCTGTCTTTGGGCACTGCTTTTCTGACTTCGAATGCTTAAGGCTTTCTTAATGGCAGCTGGCAATGAAAAGCGAGCATCAGCCTTAGGGCAGAGCTGAGGATCAGTCAGAATTTGGTGGAGGGACAAGAGAGACACAAGGAGTCATGCCTTTGGAAGTGAGTACTCACACTAAAGAAAAAAAGAGGCAAGTTAACCAGTTGTAGATATTAAGGTTTTGGTTACTGTGGTCCTCATTCAACTTCATATTTGATCTCTTCATTTAGGGTGTGAGAACAGCCTGTGAATTAGAGCATACAGGCTCTTAGGGTATTTGAAAATAGTGGATATAGAGTGATCCTTTTCCTGGGCAGTATTCATCTGTTTCCACACACTACTGGAATCTACCATTGTAACCAGAAGATGTTAGAGGCACATGAAATAATTGAGAAGGAGCATTTCTGTTAGTTCCAAGGTTGCTTAAGGAAGTACTAGTTTTTTGGATGTACAGGACAGCTGATTTTACAATACAGATGATAAAAGCTTGGTTTGCATGTAAAAGTAAAACCATGGTTTGGCTGTTGTGACAGTGCCTCGGGTTCTTGCAGCTTGTGTCTCTTGCTGCTTGGTTCACAAAATCTTAATTATTACATTTGGACTGGGTGGAAGGGGGCATTGATTTATAGAAGCCTTAGATGGCTTCCAATTCCAGCTTAAGGCAGACTGATTTTCCTAAACAAAAACATGAGAAACATAATTAAAACTTGTAAGAGGAAGGTGTGTATGAAGGCACAGTCTTAACAGCCAAACCATAGATTGGATGTTCGGTGTAAGCAAAGTTTACAACATCCTTTACTACAATGGTAAACCAGTATTCATATTTGAGATATGTCAACATAATTTTGTGGGTGTTACTAAGTTCTTACTTGAAAGTTCTTAAATTTCAAACCATATTAACTGATAAAACTGTGTACCATTTTATTGCAAATGAAAACTGTTACTTAAAATATACAAATTAATTTGTATAATTTGTATTTTTTTGTATTACGTTTGTTTGTTTATGTAAGCCGTCCCGAGGCATTAAGCGATGGGATGGCATACAAAAACTCTAAATAAATAATAAATAAATAAATAAATAAAATTGCCTTTTTCATATATTGCAGGTTTGCTTTAAAACTACAGTTATGTTTGCTGCAGATATCTGGTTGCAGGAAACTTTATTTGGCTGTAGAAGAGCTGAGAAAACAGCCATATAATTCAGACAATAAAGAACATGAGGAACAACTAATGGAGGTGAAAATGATGGATAGGTTTTAAGTGCCTCTTTTCAGATACTTAAGTTTAAACTTGTGACTCCGTGATCATTAATAATATATTTGTTTTTGATCTACTTGAAGCTGCACATCTCTGGTTAGCCTTAGCAGTAGCAATGTAGTGAGATCACTGCATGGCAGTGATAAAGATTTATAAAGTTATGAATGGCATGGAAAAATTGATAGAAATAGCTGCCTTTTATTATATTATCAAGTTACAATATTTCCTTATAAAATTGATTCAATACTAAGTCCAGAAAAAGCAAGCAAAGGTACTTCATACAGCATAATTAATTTATGGAATTAATTGCCATGGGAAGTGATGATGGCTTTAAAAAGGGTTAGATAACTCTATTGTCAGGTACAATATAAATAGCTGTTTATTATCCAGTTTATTTAAAAATTAAAGCCTCAGTATTCAGTAGTTGTCTCTACAGGGGTAATAAAATTGAGAATGCTTTCCTATCATTCCATGTTTATGATCTCTTAGAAATGTCTGGCTGACAGCTCTTTGGAGACAAAATGCTAAACTAAATGTTCTGATTAAGTCTGGCACTCCTTACAGCATTGTGCTTCTGGTTATTATTATTAAAAGCTAGTGCAGCCTTTGTGGTTTGCACCTGACATTTGTTAAAAGAGAGTTATAAAATATTTTATTGTGAACTCATGTGCCTTAATGCAAGTTCAGCATTCGCACCAGTACTCATGGAGCTACTGCATGAGCTGCCATGCGCAGTTTGATAGGGAGGCAAAACTGTTCACATAGATCAACTTTCTCTGCTACAACAAGTAGAGAATTTGTGGTGGGCAGGAGGGCTCCATTCCCACAACAGAGTATATATGATCAGTATGACAGATATTTTAGTTTAATGTGAACAAACAGAAAAGCAATCCTTGTTAATACATTTCAGGGACTATTTGGAGATGTTTGTGTAAACTGGTGATAGGTGGTTTGTCTTTTTAAAGTCTGTTGCTGTAATTACATCATATTAACTGAGACTTGTTTGAATACCTGATAATGACGTGAGGGAAATACCAGTAAGTGTGTTAATGGGTACGTATTTATGCAGCTTTGGAATTTGTTGATGCCCCATGAAAAACTGAAGGCTAGAATCACGAAGCAGTGGTGTGACGTTGGTTTTCAAGGTGATGACCCTAAAACAGACTTCAGAGGAATGGGCATGCTGGGATTAATTAATCTTTTGTAAGTCAAGATGCTTTTTCATGATTGAAAATCAAATTATTCTGTGCAACAGTAGAGAGTGAGCCAATGAGCACTGAACTCAGTAGTTAGAATCCAATGTGTCCAAATGAATTATTTCAGAATCTATTATTGTATTGTTCATGGCATCATTAACTCAGACCTCAGTCCTCTAACCTCACAACATTGTCCGGAGGAGGCGGTGCATAGGATTATTTGGAATTGGAGCTTCTGGTTCCTCAGAGCTGAGACTCCTCTGCTGCACCTCACTTACAGCCAGCTCTGAAAGTACTGTGCAGGCTGCTGCTTCAAGTCAGAAAATGGAAGGACTAAAGGATTGTTCTGCTGGGGAAAGGGTGGGGGAGAGGTTGGGACCAGTGGCTTATGCCTATCCAAACAACTCTCCAGCTTCCTCCCTCCCCTTCTATGGTGCTTCATTTAAATGGCCAGAAAGAGCAATCTAGATGAAATTCAAGGTTTGATGTGTGGTGCAATGAAGATCACTGCTGTGGTACCTTGCAGGAATGCATGTAAAGCCTTTCTGCATCCAGGATGGAGGACATTTATCATTCCCTTAGTTACACTAGAGCGTAGGTGAAGAGCTAATGCAAAGTTCATTATTTCAATGTTCTGCAGTAGTAACTTGTCACATCTAGCATAAGTAGTTTCTTATAAACTAAAGTAATTATGCTTACATGTGTTTTCAGGTACTTTAGTAAACACTATCCACGTGAAGCTCGTCAAATCCTTTCTCGTTCCAATAATCCAAAACTAGGGTAAGCCACTTCTCAATAAAACTATTATGCTAATTGTCTGTTACTGAGGAAAGAGTTGTAAACTAACTAGAGTTATTTTAATTGTTGATGAATAATCTTAAGGCACAGTTAACCTCTGCTTCTAAAGGGAAAGCTGGCATAATATTTGTGAGTCTGAAACAGTAATTTGCCCAATATATAAAGTTGTTTTTTGTGTTACCTCCCTCCCTTCTCCGATCTAGGTCTAGATTGGCATGTTGGTGTCATGCACCGTGACAAAACTATCTGTTTTATTAATTTTCTCTCTTAACAACTCTGAGGCTTGATCAGGACTTTGTCTTTACATCACCTTTCATACTGAATATGTGAAAAACATTTCACATAAACATGTATAAAGTCTGAAATTAAACTAAAAACTGTTACTTAAAAACTGTCAACATGGAACACCAGACATTGGTGTACTGCTGAAGAGAACAGTTTGTACATGGAAAGAACACACATGCACGCACACAACTTTGCTATTGCTATTTCAAGGATTTCAAGCCCCATTAAGGTGGCTAGCTTGGTGCAGCCTTGGTAATATTGGACATTAATAATGCTTACAAGCATTGTTAAAAGTGCAGAGAAATAATTGTGATAAGAATGTGTGTTTGTCACAGATATTCCTATGCAATAGTTGGGATCAATTTGACAGAGATGGCTTACAGCTTATTAAAGAATGGCTTTTTAAAAGTTCACTTCTATAACCTGGTTGCTGGTGTACCACAGATGAAAGACTTCCATCAGTTTTATTGTGAGTATCTGCAGGTATCCTTCACAGATTTTTTTTTTTTGGTGACTTCTCTTTCTGAACCTATTTAGAGGTTGTTGTGGTTGCAGAAAAGTTTGGAAAAGATGTAGTATATTTGCTGAAAAGCATGTTGAATTATACCTGGAACCTCTCAGTCTACCTCAATTTGAAGCTGTAAAGTGAGATTTCAACACACGTTCAGCAAACATACAATATATTGCTGTAGATGAAAGTTGAGCTTCCATGGGCTGATACACATACTACATATAACACATTAGCAGGAGAACAAAGGTATATAATCAAGTCTTCTGCCATTTAGTTTCCAGACAACCAGAGTTGGCTTGTTTTCTTCCAGATGAAATAGTTGCAGAACTTCTTTCCAGAATCTGCTTTACTCCACAGTCCATTATGGGGAAAAAACACTTTGAATAATGATGCCGAACACCTACTATAGCCTTCTTTGATGCTGGCATACTCATTCTGTGTGAGAAAATTTAGTAGATTCCACTGTTCACTGATGTGGCCTGTGCTAGCTTGTTCTCTTCTTTGGAAATAATACAAGTTTGCCCTAAAAATTATGACCAAATCATGGTGGAACAAAAGAATATTAAATACTGCCTGTTCTTTTTATAGTGTTAGCATGCTCTTGTATATATATGTTCTTATTTGTTGCATGCACATACATGAATAATCTTATGTTGGATCCAGGTAAATGTACGTATATTGAGCTTGGTGGAAGCTGATGTGTCCTTTCCCCAAAAAGCACTTTGAATATCAGAGGATCCCACCAAAAGGTGAGGGCTGTGGAGTGTGAGAATCCCTAAAAATCAGGTGGATACAGCCTCCATGAGCAGGAGGCTTTTCAGAGGATGAGAGAGAAGGGATATCTCCCACTGTCCATCCCCTTAGGTGTATTTCTATCTGGATCTAACTCAAGATTCATGTTCAATAATAAAAACTTGAAAGAAAAAAGTGCTGGGGTTTATATTTTTGCTTGTGTCTGAAGTAGGTCTTTTGATTTTAACCAGTGTATTTGGAGAATCAAATGCAATTTTAATGATGGCTGCAGTTTTTCAAATTTAATTTATTTGTAATGTATGGTCTCAACATATGTTTTGGGTTTTGTTTTTGTTTTTTTGTTTTGGTTCCTGCAGGTTATTTGGCCTATAAGTTTGACCAATTTTGGTTTGACGAAAAACCTGAAAGTATTATGTACTTCAACCAGTATAGAGAGAAGTTTCATGCAAAGGTCAAAAAACAGCTCCAGGATTATGACACAGTCCTTGCCTTAAAAAATGAAAAATCATAATGTGCAGTCCTGTGGGTTCTGCAGATGAAAATTATGCACTTGACTGGAATCCTCATATTTAACCAAAAACTTCATTTACTGATCAAAGTTTTGTACATCTATTTTTTTATTGAAAAAATCAATAGCTTGAACAATCAACAGTTACTTAGGATGGTATTCTACTTGCTGGAGGTAAGAACATCTTAAAATACAAAGACCCTCACAGGATCACAGAACATAATAACTTCTGTGCATCTGGTACTAGAAGGTGAAAAAGTTTCTCGGGCTGCATCATATTGACTAGCGATAGCGTTTTTTCCCCAAATTTGACTCATGTTTACTTTATCACAAGATATGTTGCAAAGTTTCACAAATAGAAATAGCTTTTGTTGTAGATTTGTATGTTAGGATGTATGATCTGTTAACAAGGGCCATTTGGCCATTTACACACAATGTTTAAATTATTTGGATGAATGAAAAGTTCTTCACTTATGCCTATATAAGTTTATTCCATAGTGCTTCAGGTTTAGTTGCTCTTTGTCATGATAGTTGGTGGATTAAAACTTTGAATCTTTGCAACTATTTTAAGGTTGAAACATTTCCCAGTGTTCTGTTTATTTAAGGCTATGCAATTGCCTTCCTATATCAACCATTGGACCTTTTTCCCTTTGTCAGCTAACAAAATGACAGCTAACATTGGAGCTCAAGAATGTTAGAGCTTAAAATATGTAAGGGGATAATCAGTGTTAACTGTATTTTTTTATTGTTTCTTTGTTCTGTGTATTGAGGAAAGCAACTCCGATGGTGTATTCCCAGACAATCTAGACAGTAGGATTTTGTACCTAAGTCTTGTATCAAACATGCTTAAACAAGCTTGGTTTGTAACTAGCCTTGTGTTTGTATGTGTGTGTTTTATAAGTGGGGTGATCTTTTTAAATCATTAAGTGCCTTTTACTTACTGCATTTGAGCCCCATCCACGAGGCTTTGGAACTGACCCCGTATCAGTGCTGAACAGATTCTAGCACATAATGGCTGCTGTGCTAAGACTGATACTAGAATTAAGCAAAATCCATACTTAGTTGCTTGACTTATTAATGATATTGTCAGTGAAAAAAAGCAGCACAGGAAGAGAAGATCTGAAGGAAGAAAAAGATGCACATGTACAGGCAATTTGGAGCCAAATTACTTAGCAGATGCACAAACAGCTTTTAAATAGCATATTGCATGCATGTATGTAGATAGCAAGCACTTCAAATCAGGACCCTGCTGTGGGAGCTAAACAATGCTCCTTGACCGGTTTGGGGAACCCATTGTTACGTGTATTGCAAAAAACCCTTCCCATTGGACAAAATGCAAACTTTTTTCCAGTGTAAATTGCAAGCATGGATAGTCAGGAAAGATGGTGAAATAATCAGGTCCACAGCAGGAGAATGACACAAAGGGCATGACTCTTTCTACTTTCATACCAGGGTACTGATCTACACTGGAACTCCTGTGCTTGTAATTTACTATTATTAATAGTGTGAATGGTGATGCCCTTGGTAATGCTCGAGCATTGCAGACATTTCCTATGTTGAACAAAAATCCTATAGCACCTGATAATAATCAAGGATCTGGCATAACTTTGAAAAAAACAGCACTGATTACATCTAATTTATGGGACAGTTTAATATATTTTAAGGTTAAAATTGTTTTCCCTTGAGGGGCAAAATATATCCTAATAGCAAAATAGAAGGGTTAGTGAGGGTTTTTAATATCTACATCTATTTTTATAGATGCTTAGTATTTTGCAATAAAACATTCTTGCAAGAGAAATTTGATATGTGTAAAATGTGTTGGGTTGTAATCCAAAAGACCATATGGCATAGATGTACCCCTTGAGCTCTTGTGTGCAATGGCAGCTTTGCTTCCTTCTCTGAATTGGGAGGCTGAGGTTTGTCATAAAGAAAATGGAAAAGCTCATATACTTGGTTTGCATAGGCACTGGAGTTCTTGGTTTGTGCAGAATGAACAGAAACGTAATTTTTGGCTTAAACTGTTAAAATGAAGAAATTATTCCCCTTTTTTCATGGTGTGGAGATACAGTGATGACACATTAAGTTCCATGTGAGTTTTCACTTTAATGCTAATAGGAAACGTACGTTTCAGTTAGGTTTTTAAAAAGTAGTTTCACTATATTATATGTATCAAAATATTGGAAGCTGAAAATTCCCAAGTAAGAATACTGGAGAGTATTCAGGGCATGCCTTCATGAGAGCTTGCCATATTGCTTTTTTATTGTTTAGTTCTGAATGAAAAGTGCAGGACATTGTATTCCCCTACACATCTCTGCATAATATACTATTTTTTCCATTGCCTTAATTGTTCCTTCAGTCTGCTTGTTGGATTTATGGGAATGAGTGTACTTTGGTTGATTTGGGGGACTGGAGATGCTGATTCAGGCCATCCAGGTTCTAATGAATATTTCACTTGGATGCTGTCTGGGTCACGATGTGTCAGAAACTTAAGGCTGTACCTTTTCTTGCCCAGTGGCAAGAAACATGTAGGATAGAAATTCCATCAATGTTTAAAGTGTTAATTTTGAAATGGGCATTTTGGCCTCCCAAATAATGGTTGCCACAAGATTAAGTAGCTGTCCCAAAATGATTTGTTGCTATGATACTGCCCTTCAACCAAACAACTTAGATCCATTCAGGATGTTTTTAAGAAAAAGGCTTTGTGGGATCTGAGTCTACTAAAACTCTGGGCTAGATTCTGAAATTCATTTTCTGATATATCTACTTTGGTTTCTCAAACAATGGTTACATGTTGCCACATGGGGGTTCACCGTTTGGGTAGCCTTTACAGCCAAAAGGACCATTTGGCATGAACATGTCTATCTCCTAAGGTAGGGGGAATGCAAGATCTTGTCTCTATTGCTGAATGTCAGCTATGCTTACAGGGCATCTAAACAATGTAGAACAATCCCACCTAAGTTCAGGAGATGGGGAAGATTAATTATGATGAATAAATTTGTGGACCTGTTCACACATTTTGGCTTGAAGTCCTCCAGCTGCTTATGCAGGACACAGAACCCACCAGAGGGTGTTGAAACCTAGAACATTTGATAAGCTACCCAATGGCTGATTCTGTTATGTCTGGATGCTGGTTTGTTTGGGGATATGCAAAGCAATACCTTCTATCTGCAACAACCATAATGCATTTTTGCCATAAAATTTATGTATTGTTCTTGAGCAACTGTAGTTAAAAAGATCAATGTTTGACAACAAAATATGCATAGCTTTAAACAATTATAAAACATCAAATGAAAAAGATTATCCGTAAGCTGTAAGGTGATAACATTATCGGTTTTAGTCAGTGTACTCTTAAATAGCACTAATAGTCATAATTAGGAATATTTATTGAAAGGATTTTTGAAGTTCTGAGAGATGCCAGTCTTGTAAATATTTTGAAATACTCACTGCAGACTAGAATGATTTGTATCTTCTTTATTGAGTGTATGGTTTAAAACTATAAAGAAGTGTTCCTGAGCTATCTTGTCCCAGGTAGATGTAATGTTCAGTTAAAATAGCAAAAGCTTAATACATTCTTAAACTAAAAAGCCTATACATCCTTTCAGGGAATTAATCCCATTTGAATGTTTAGGATTCCATGGTTAATTTTCAAATGTAGAGGTCTCTGTCAAATAGAATAATCTCAGACAGTTTATACTGCTGTTGATTGGACTGGTGATACTCAATGTGCTCCTTACCTTTTTCTAGGTATGGCAAAACTTTTCCTGTCATACCAGGGCTTAGTCTTGATTTGGAAGGAACCTTTAAACTAGAATGTCCATGTGGCAAAACTGGATAAAATAATACAGAAAAGCTTTATTGATGTTGGCCGATTGAGGAAAGTGGATGGTCTGAGGAGGAACTGCATGTGTTTGTGGTTTGTTCCTGGTCCAGTGAAACCTAATTTAATCAATGTGACATAATTCCATCTGAACTGAGTCAGTTTTTCACCAGGCATGTGTACATCCTTGTCCATTTTCACTAAGAATTCACTTGTAGTTCGTCCACTTGATCGCCTTATTTCATACTGTGAAAACATTAAAAACTTGGTGATAGGCAGCAGTATTTTGTAAAAGTAGAAAGGGATTTATTGTTTAGTATAATACTGCATTGTGACAATCCTAATACATTAGTAGCTCTGAACATGTTCTACAAAGTTTCAGTCCACCTTGAAGTAAAGACTGATTTCTTTTTAAGGGAGTTAAATACATGACCAGATGGAGAAATGTTCATTTGAACATGGGTGTGGAAGTTTACATGGAAATAGATGTAGTCATTTCTATGTTTCCCCAAAAGTTTATGAACCTGTGTGATCACATGGAAGGAAATCCAACTGTTTGCATGTACATTTCTTTTATAATATTTGTGTTTTGAATAGCATATTATTACATGTATGGCAATATTGAATAAACAAGTCCAAGTTTGGTTTCTCAAAACAATTTCATAAAAATCCAGGCTTGCAAAATAATGGATTAGGGTACAAAATTAAGCACAAGTGCAAAATTCTTGAGACAAGTAAATAGTTTCCTTGCTTAAGGATGCTAATTACAAAAATCAGTTATTGTTGCTCATAAAACTGTAAATACTTGCTTGAAACTTTTGAGTGCGAATGAATAGAAGTTTACGAAGGTGGATTCAGTTGCAGATTTTTTCAATGAATTCAGTAAAAGGAAATTGCCAATTACAGAAGTTGTTCATAAGCATCAGGTACTATTTTATTGGTTGTGTCCTGTATGAGAATTGTATCCAATGGTAATCCTCTTCAGAGTAAATCCACTGATAGAATGGGTGTTAAGAGAAACTTATATTGGATACAACCCTAGGTATCCAAGTTTATCAGGCTATTTACTTCTGTTGCAATTGATAGAGTATCTTGAAAGTATGTAGGATGTAGAAATAGAAACCACATGATCCAAAATGCAATGGACTTATCTTTGAAAGCAAGCTTTTTCTTTATTCCTTCAAATTATTTCCTGTCAAAGCTGTTAAAGTTGTAAGGTTCAGTAGCCTGTATTGCTAATTATTGTTTCTAGTCCTTATGAATTGTATTTCTACTAATTTACTGTTGTGGTACTAGTATGGGTAAAATTGTTCTTTCTGTTGCTGAAGTGTTCTCCATTCCACTGTAAGAAACATTTGTGGGTAGTGACGTGTAAGGCCACTGTCAACTACCTAAAAGTATGTGCTTATTGTATTATGGAAGCAATAAAATGTGATACATGTTTAGGAGTGGAATGAGAATATTAGTAAGGAAAAAGCTGACCAGAAACTATTCTTTTAGCAAAGTGTGTTATATCAGAACTTTCCACTGCACTGTTGCTAGAATTCTATATTAGAGTTCAGCATTTTTGTATTTCCCTCTGTTTGTTTTCATAAACATTCTAAAGTATCAAATAAAAAGTTCAACAGAAGTCTCCAAGTCTCCAATCCTTTGATCAAGAACTGAAAAATAAGCATGGTTTATATAATATCTATATGACCAGCAGCAGCCCAAGGAATAAAGTAGGCATATCAATGAATGTTCACCCTTCAGCTAGATTCTTTTTTCAGGCAAGTTTATATGTTCTTTGGACTCAGTAGAAAGGTAGCGCTACCTAGTAATTTGTTTTGGGCTTGTAATTGTAAGCTGCTTATTTTAGTTTTGCTGCTTCTGTGTTTTATCCCTAGGCAGAGATCATTTTGCTGAAGCATTTTAAGCAAATTGCTATGCTTCTCTTTGATGGGAATTCTGATACCAATGTCACTAATCCCAATCCAGAGATTTCATGCAGCAGGGTACTGCAGGCTAGGCCTCTAGCTAAAACCTTACCACCCATCACATACAATTGGACAGGAATACAGAAAGTTTTTATTTTCAGGATGGTACCTTGGGGAAGATTCCATATTCCATGCTTCAGTCACAGGCCTATGAAGAAAATATGTGCCATGGAGACATCCTATGCATTGTTAACTTTTAAATTATCTGTTATAGAGATGACCCTCCTTCAATACAAGTTTTGATTTGTTACATAAAACTAACTGAAATTCATGCTAGAAGAATTACATAATGAAAGACAGTCACACTATTTGCATGTGATACTAGTTTAATGTTTTTCTTTTCTTTTTTTAAAAAGAGCCTTATTCACATTTACCTACTGTGGTTAAAACTACTTTTGACAGTTATTTTAAATAAGAATTAAGCCCATAGCTTTGGCTAAAAAAATTGGAAAAAATTACATGATAATATACAATATATAAAAAACAAAAGTAATGGATATATTTTTGAAGGCAGCAAATGAAGTTCAGGTATATAAGAATGATCTGGGCCTAGTCATCTGTAAATGAAAAATCAACTAAGGTATTGGTTTTTTAAAGACTGGGCACAATCCAATCTTACCATGGCCACAGTGCCCACATTCCGAGAACTTGCACAGGCTCATTGAAATCCTGTTTCCTTCCTGCAGATGCAGTATGGGCTGTAGAAAACAGGTTCCTATTGAGCCTGTGGGAATTATGTGCACTGTAGCAGTGGATTCTGTCCATTTTATGGTTCTGAGAAAGAAGCAAGGATTCAAAGTGCAGGTGCTCCATTTGTCATTCAACATACCATTCAGTAAATGACATTATACAATATTAATCTATAATAAAGTGACAGTGTTTTCATTCATTAAGACTTTCAAACATTCAGTTACATTTTCTTGCAGATCTTTTTTAGATTACATTCCTGCTAATGACTGGTTTAAATGGAGATTTTGCCATTCAGCTATGAATTTTTCATCTACGATAAAAGTTAGATTCATAGTAATGCTTAGATCTAAAATTGTCAACACAGAATTATCTACAGATTTTTTAAAAATCCTCTCATTTTAAAAAGGGGTACTGTGAAGTGTTTAGGTACGGTCTTGAGCAGGTGCCAAGGAAAGTTTCTGGCAGTGTCCCTGAAGAATGCATTTTAAAAAGTATTAGAAATCCTGATTAAAAAAAAAAACAAACAAGACATCCACCAGGGATGCTGCACAGAACACTTCTGAATCCTAAACAAGTTGACAGCATCCCTTTCTATTTTTGCCTCAGTCTACCAATCCCTTACAGGCACAGGGATTCCAGTGCACACACATGCTGCTTCTTGCCTACAGGGGCTTCCATTTCTCTATCTGCCTCAAGCTGAAGGAAACAGCTCTGTGCAAAAAAAGGCATACTAATGTAGAGCTGCTTCCCCCAAAGTGAGTGGAGAAAAACTGTATACAAAGGAGTTCCATGGGCACACTGAAGCACATACAGTGCTAGTTCTTCGAGCAGCCATTTTTAATTTTTACTAGTCTCTTCCTTAAAGATCTCAGGCCTGTTTGGAAAACATACACAATTTTTCATTAAGTTAAAACAGAACAAATTGTCACCAATTTATCCATGGATAGCAAGGCTAATAATACACGCACACACCACAGACAATGAACACCCCCTCCCCCCAATGTATACTGGCAGGGAAAAGCATTCTGGTAATGTTTCCCATAAAGAGAAAAATAATTCAAGGTAAGAATTACATCCCAGTGTGTCCACATGAGTGAGGACTAGCAAGTTTTGAAAACAGGACCTGTAATACGTAATAAAAACCTAACATATGCAATAAAAAATTAGCTGGCTCACTTAGCCTGACATAGCTGAGATTTCATAGTCACTCACAGATATAATGGGTTTGCCCATCATCCGCACATTTTTAGCATTTGTAATCCTTGCCATCATGCACACTGGCTTGTCAAAGTACCGCACAAGGGCTGGTTCTGTCAAGAGGGAAGCCAGAAACTGCTCAAAGGTGATGGCCCAGTCTCTATCAATGCTAGTGCTTCTTGGCAGAGAAGTGGCATTGCTGCTTCGAACCAAAACAGTGTCTTCACTGATGTCTTCACAATGTAGCTTGTCATCCTCATGAGAACCTGCACTTAGGACGGAGTAGGAAGACATGGAGCTGTCATCTTTAGTGTCATCATCAGAAATAAGCATGGAAGAACCAGCTCCATTATCCCTAGGAGAAGAATCTTCCAGCTTAATGTCCTCCATCTGTGCACCATCACCACAAATATTCTCTTCTTCATCAGCCAGGAAGCCATCTTGGAAAGGATCACGTTCAAGGTGATACTGCTGGCTTCCCTTCTTTAGAAGTGGGGCATTCTGAATGCCTTTGCTGCTACTCTCGGGCTCTTTAATAGGCTGGACATTAAATAACTTACCAACCTCACCGATTTCCAGAAGCAAACTTGTCACAGCTGCAGTAGCATGATAAAGATCCTGCTCATTGGGGTCTTCACTGAACATATTATACATTGTCTTGCACAATTCAATAAACTGCCCCTAGTAAAAGAAATACGGAGCTTTATTTTCTTAATGCATTTATTCTACTGTATATGCTTAGAGTTATTTTCCATTTTAGGGAGAAACCAGGTCCACAGCTGCCTTGCTGCACCTTTGATACCATATCAAGGGCTCCAAGCCTGCCCTTTGGGTCTCGAAAGACATAGTTCGATTATGAAAAAGAAAAAGGAAGAGCTGCTCTTACGTGGAAACGCTTTATAGAGGGAAGGAGGTACTTTGGCTGTGTTTATTTTCCTGTTGGATGCTGCCCTATTATTTTCCTGTTGGATGCAGCAGTTTCAGTATTATTTATTTAAAACTTTTGTATGCTGTCACTTATGCATGGCATCTTGGGACAGCTTACAATCACTAAAACAACAGTAAAACAGCAATAAATAACAATTAACCAAAATACAATTAAATAAGTTAAATAAAAGCAACTGTTAAACATTAAATTTTTAAATTAGTTTTTAAAATAACAGTTAAATAAAAAGGTTTTATTTATGCAAACTCAAATAGAACCAGTGGATGAATCTTTGAGTTGTGCAAGAGTGTGAGGAAGATGTGCTTCACTCCCAAAAAACCTTTGCTAAATACATATGAACAAGAGATTGATTCATAGATCTTTCAGTACAGCTGTACATTCTGCATTCATCCACAGTACCTTCATGACACTGCTCACCAGCTGGTGTAAGTAGGAAAAGCGTTTCCTTGTTAGGTTTTGATTAAGTACTACTACCAGTAATAATAAAGCCAACTGTGCTACCTCTCAACACAGCCCTGTTATGGGATGTAAATGCAGTTCTAGTGGCTGGATATGGGACTTTTAACCTCACATTTTACATGCATAGGACCCAATCCAGAGGCAGAGTTCTAAGAGTTCTTATTTCATTCTTGCCTACTGGGATGTAAATGGCTTGGTACTCTTAGCGAATATTCGGTTAATAAATCTTGAGTTTTGCATTTGTTAAAAGTATATAAAATGTTTCTTTTTGTTCCAAGAAAGCTTACCTGATTTAGTTTGGGCAAATCCTTTGCATTCTTTGCTTTGGATTTATTATCTTGATTCCACATTCTAAGGTAATTTCTGTTTTCCTGGGAGTTCTTCTTACCTATTACAATCAGTTGCCCAGACAATGAAAGAATTATAAAAATCTACTTTCACAAACCAGAATTTGCACATGTACACATACCAGCTTAACTAACAAGATAAAGAGCATACCTTTTTCAGTTTTCACACTCACGTTAATAAATCCCTCCTCTGCTCCTTGTCTGTTCCTGCCTTCTACACCAACAACTAATAATATGCAGAAAAAATGTAATTAGTGTATTTTAAAAGACCTCGGCACTTATACAATTAAATAAATTAGTGACTACAAGCCTGGGAAATCTGTTATCAGCCAGGCTTTCTGATACAGTGTGCTGTAATGGTTAAGAGTGCAGGATTGGGAATCAGGCAATCTGGGTTCTAGTCCACACTCAGTCATGGAGCCAACTGAATGACCTTGGGCCAGTCACAGACTCTCAGCCTAACCTACCTCACAAGATTGTTGCTGTGGGGAAAAGACTGAAAGCAGGAAGAGGAGAATGATGTAAACTGCTTTGTATTCTTTAAAAAGAAAAACAGGTAGGATAGAAATCTAATAAAACAGACTAAGAGCTACTAAGAGAGAATTGAGATAAAGAATGCATTTCTACTTTTCACTGATCCTAAAGTGTCAATAGTTCAGAGTGGCAAACAGAGATCCTGACATTATCTCCAGTTGCAGTGCCTATCAGGACTACCATGAAGCAGTTTTGAACATATAAACATCAGCATCCCCAGTTTTCCCTTTTCTCTCTTTGTAAACTCACCTCTTCTCTATAATCTGTGTCTTCGTCAGGCTGGGAGATGGTGGCCAGTTATTTATATATAATAGAAATAGTTATCTGTTAAAGTAGAGTTATGTAATTTGTAGTCTTAAACTACAATGCTGTCTACTTCCCTTGGAATATGCCACACTGAACCAGGGCCAGCTCTACCATTAGACATAGTGAGGCAGCTACCTGTGGTAGCAAGTGTTGGAAGAAAAGTAGCAATGGCATATTGGAGCACCAGACTATGGATGATATGCAGCCTTTCCTGTCCTTCCCCAGTCTAGTACCATCCTGATGTTTTGGGCTATAACTGCCAGTATTCTAGACTATTCTGACAGAGGCTGGTGTCCAAAACAACTGGAGGGAAATGGATTAGAGAAGGCTGTCCTACTGTTTTGCTGTTTCACAGAAGTGATGGAGCATGCTGTTCTACCACTAGCACTGAAATAAGATTCAGCCATTATTCTTGTTAAATTCTGTAAGTAGGAAGGATGTATCTGTACTTTATATTGGGTACGGAAGTACCTTGGGCTAGCTCTTTATTAAACTCAGTGGGTTTTCTGTGTGGACATGCGTAAAATTCCAGTATTAGTTAAACTTACCACGGTGTAACAATATGGTACATTGACCCTGACATGAAGATAACTGCTATCTACATTCCCTCACAGTCTGAGTCTGCCTCTTACACAATAAGTAAATCATTCTTTCTTTTATGATAGTCAAAAGATCTTTAGATCATGGAGCTAAATCTTTAGAAAGGAAATGTTTGCATGCCACTTAATAGGCCATGGCACTTGACTGGGGCAATCAAAATTTTGTCACTAAGCAATTCCCGGAGTCCAATGCTGGAAAACACTTTTGATTAAATTAATAGTCCTCTGGATATTAAAAGAGCACCACAACAATGTCTTATAATGTCCCCTTTACAGAGTGGTGCTTTGATTAATGTGATGGAAAAGAACTGTTTTCCAGTTTTTGCTATTTGGTTTGGTTTTAAGGGATTATGGGGTTAAGAAGCGCTCGCTCCCTCTCCCTCTCCCTCTCCCTCTCCCTCTCTCTCCCTCTGTGTGTGTGTGTGTGTGTGTGTGTGTGTGTGTGTGTGTGTTCCTGAGTCTCTGCATGCACACTTGTGAGTTTCAGTCATTTTCCTCTGGTTTTTTTATTATTTTATTATAATAGGGGTGTGTGTTGGTCTATTCACATTTTAAAACTTTTTCCTACTGATATTTTTAATCAGTAAAGTTTGAAGTTCTGTGGACTCCTCCGAAAGAGAGTTTTGAAACTGGTTTGGTGGAGGCAGCCAGAGAAATAAACATTTCTGTTTGGTGGTAGTAGAACAGACCATTAAAAGAGATAAGCAAAAATAATTGTGGGTGCTCTATTTTTTTCCCTTCTACTCCTGCAACATTGCCAGTCCATGACAATCATGAAGGAGGACAGATAATAAATCTGAGATAAATTCTTATACCATGTGTACAATCTGGTGTGATGTCTTCAAAGAAGTACTGAGTTGCTTCAAAAGCAGAATCTGGCTCTTCTTGATCAGAAGATGGGTCTGCACAAAAGAAGTGTCAAGTATCAGGTCACTGAAGTATCGAGTACAGCTCAGTAGATAGGTCAACTCACTTGCATACATTAGGATATACATCCACATGAAACGTATTTTAGCAACAATCATCAAATTATTAATTACTTGTAACTACTTGCTGCACTAAATATAGTTTAATCAATGTGCTTATTCTGTTTTGCATTGTAATTCACAACTTTGATTTAAGACAAGCAAACAAACAGAACTATGACTGTTCCATGTTGCAAAGCCACCCCAACCAATCGTTATGTTGGAATAGAAAGTCCACTATTGGTTGGCAGGACAGGGCTACAGGATGTGTCTCAGTAAAGCTACAACCCTAAACGCAGTTATTAAGGAGTAAGCCCACTAAACACAGTAGGTATTACATCTGAGTAAATAACCATAGGATTGCACTTGCAAGAGTCTTTAGAAGAATGTTATGGCCTCGCGCATGGCCCTATGCTTACTCACCAGGCAAAACATGCATTTTATATAGCAACTTCAGCTTTTCAGTAAGATCTCCATGGCATGCTGCACCTAGAAGAATTATGTCCACTTTATCAGTTACTGAATATAGTCAATACTGTACAAAACATACAATTTTCAAAACAATTAGAATTTACCTTGAGCTATCTTAGCTAGAAAACTATCTCTAATTTACATTCCATCCCATAAGTATCATATACATTCCATAAACACTGAAATGTTTTCATACCATATATGCTGAAACAAATAGGTGATCATCAGGCAATCAAACCACGTTACTCGGTCTCATAAATAAAATTTGGACTCCCTATCCAAATAGTGAATTCACAAAATCCATATTAATGAGTTTAAGCAGTTAAATATTGAATTATATTCTTATATTTGTTGAGATAAAATATGTTGTCTACATGGAAATTCAGTAATCACAACTACATTTGTAATATAGGGAAAGTGAACAGAGAGAAGTTGTCTCCTGCTCCCAGACCTGCCATTCCATAAGACTAGAACTCAAGTTCATTCCATGAAACTGAATAGTGGGAGAGTCAAAACAAATTAAAAACACTGCACACAACACATTGTTAAATTATGGAATATGCAACCTAACTGGTAGTGATAACCACCAATCTGAATGACTCTTAAAGGGGACCGGACAAATTCCTGGAGGATAAGGTTATCAATAGATTTTCGTAATGATGGCTATATGCTACTCTGCTATCAGAGGTTTGTATGCCAGCTGATGGAGAACATGAGCAGGAGGGTGATATAACTTCATTTATGTTCTACTTGTGGGCTTCCCATAGGCAGCTGGTTGTTTAAATGGACAATATGCTGGACTAGGAAAGCCTTTGGTTCAATGCATGGCTCTTTTGCTTTCATAATTGCAATCTATTGTTTGCTTTAGGGGCTATTCCAAAAGTCTTAGGGACTATGATATAGCTTCAGAATACTGAAAGTTATAATTATGTCCACTTGAGGTCACAGTCTGGATGGTATGAATGGAACTTTTATGTTCCAGTTTTTAACTAACACAGGAAAGAAAACACCCTCAGCCAAAGAACACAAACAGCAGGTATAGCCTGTTTTGGGACATGGGGAGGAGCAGCCTTCTTGAGGGCTGGCAGGGAGGATATATTTTTATTTTTATTTATTTAAAACTTTTGTATACCGTCCATTACCAAATGGTCTCAGGACGGTCTTACAATAAAACAAAGTGAAGCACAGCATCCATTCTATACAGTAACAACTCAAAACCTCGACCTAAACCTTAAAATACTGGGAAAATAAAAAGATTTTGGCCTGGTGCTGAAAAGAATAGTGTCAGTGCCGGGCAAACCTCTCTGGGGAGTGTATTCCACATGAATAACATAGGATGTTGCTTTATACCAGGTTAGGACACAGGTCCATCTGGCTCAGTAGACTCTGCATCAATCTTCCCCAATCTGGGACTCTCCAGAAGTTTTACATCTCAACTTAGCCAATACCCAGGAAGGATGAGAGTTAATCATCCAAAACATCTGGAGAGCAGGTTGGAGAAGGCTGATCTAGACTAACTAGCAGTGGCTCTTTAGGTTTCAGGCAGGTTTCTTTCCCAACCCTAGTGGAATCCAGGAGTTTTTCATGCAGAGCATATTATATTCCAACTCTGAAAATTAAACTAGTCCTATGTAGGCCTTTTTACTGACCCACAGTACCGCCATCTTTTCTGGACTCAGAGTCTGTTTATTCTCCTACATCCAGTCCCTCACTGAATTCAGATAATGGTTCAGGACTCCCACAGACTCTTTGGCAATGTTTGAGAAAGAGATAGAAAAGTTTTTAGAAACTTTCACTAACCCTGAATGTTGGGGCCAGATTATTGTTCAGACTGGAGATAGGGCATGTGATGCCCTTGATGTAACAGCTGCCCTGGCTACCTGGCTCTTTCTGAGCCCAATTCTGATTGCTGACTATGACCTGTAAAGACCGACACAGACCCCATTCTCTCATATGAGTCTCCCCATGTTTTAACATCCTCAGGAAACATACTTCTTTCTCTCCTGCTACTATCAGAGGCACATCTTGTGGAAATACAAGCTCTTCCCAAGCTATTAAACGTCCCACAAAGAGAGGCCAGGGTAGCTATATTCCAGGTGTCCTTCCAACATTCAAACAGGTTTCTGGCTACTGAGGAAAGTTTCAGTCTAGTCCATGGTATTATTCAAATAAGTGTTATTTATCTCTTAACATTTCATTGGATGTATTTTACTTAATGAATTTCTGTACCTATTGTTAGCTACCTTGAACACTATTTTAGTGGAAAGTGGAAATTGAACAAACATGGTGATATATTAATTGCTCCCAAATGCATCAGCATCATGTTCCATTTTGGGGTGTCATCCAATCATACAGTGATGCAGTGTATACTTATTATGCAAAACTTTAGCCGTATGAGAGTGTCTCATGAACAGCATAAATTGGGCTTTTCTTAGAAACCATCCCTCACAAAATGCTACAAGCAATCTTTACTCACAAAGTGACCTTTTGAAACAGTAAATAACAAGTTATTTAAGGAATGATTATTTTAAGCTCAACTCAAATGTTGCTAAGATTTTGGAAATATTTTTTTACTCTCTTTGTTTGCTCCTTAGCTTCAATCCGTAAATTTACATTGATATAGATCAATATGTATAACAATGGAAAATTTAGAATATGTCCTATACATATTATGGAACAGATACACATTTTATTTGAATAGTAGAATGAAAACCTAAATGACAATTACTGACTGACAAACAACCTAATATTAAGAAGGGGAATGCATTTTAGCTTCTAGTGGCAACAAAATGGCAGAATTGAGTTTGAGGAAAAGAAAATTAGCTACTCCATATAACCTACTGTTGAAAGTGATTTTCACAGATATAATCATATCGAAATTGTTAGAACATAAATGCATACAGCCATTTAGAAATGCATGTCAAACCAGTGATTTCACAGTTAATGGAAAAGGGAGAGATGAACTCAGCCTCAGAAAAGGAACTTAGTGCCTGCATTCTCCTTACTTAGCCCAGAAACAAACTCTCGAAAGTTGATCAAGGAATCTCCATTTTCATCCAGTAATCTGAATAAGCGGGCAGCCAAAACATCAGAGTGAGTTCCACAAGCCCAAGGAAAGAGGAGAGCGAACATCCCCTTGAACTGCTCAAAGTCAATGCGGTACTGTTCCAAGTAAGGCAAGCTGGGGTCGTGGCGATCAGTAGCATTGCTGGTGCCTCCCCAGTAGCAGCTAGTGAGATGCTCTGCCTGAAGAAAAGCAAGACACATGCTATTATCCTTAGATATTATTGCACCGGCCATTACAATTCATGATGCTTTCAAAGAAACAAGAATTTTGAAAAATACATTTCACCTTTGCTAGTGCTGGCAATACAATAGACCAAATGCAGGAAACCTGGTGCCCTCCAGATGTTCTGAATTACAAATCCAACAATCTCTGATGACTGACTATGATAGAGGGGGCTGATACTATTACTCCTAAGAAGGAAGCCACTTCAGTGCCACCAATGCACTAAAGCACAGGTGGACAACTTCATTCCACTCAGATGCTGAACTATGATTTCCTTCGGTATTAGCCTTTAGTCAATGGCATAGGCTGATGGGAACTGCAATCTGCTAATATCTAGATGAATACAAATTGCCCATGCCTGCACTAAAGTCCTTGTATATCAAAGAAGTAACACAGTTCTGACACCAGAAAATTGCATTTTACATTTTCTAGTCACAGAGTTCTTCCTGCATTGAGCCCTTGTGGCTATGATAGCTTAGGTATGGCAAGATTACAAAGAGCCCTTAACTATATACTATACTCTTCTCCCGATCCTAACAGAAACTGGAGGATGATGACTGGAGACAGGAAAGCACAGGTTGCCCTATCTGCATCTATGCAAAAGCATTTAATATACAGTAGTCCCCCAGATTCGCGGGAGTTACATTCCTAGAGCACCCGCGAATTGTGAAAAACTGCTAATTTGGTGCTGGCGATGGGCACCGGCCACCAAGTTAGTTTGGGCAGGGGTTGTGGGCCAGGCTGGGCGGCAGGTGTGCGCGCGTGGTGAGGCAGGGGCAGGGGTACACGCGTGCAGAGGTCGTTTTCTCTGAGCAAGTCCAAACTGATCTCCTTGCGAGCAAGCCGCTGCACAGAAAATTCCACGAAAGACTGAGGCCACGAACGCTGAACCGCTACTTCACGGGAGTATACTGTATTTGTTTATTGCCTGACTTCACTAAACTATGTTCTCATAGCTCCCATGTTAGATTATGGCAATACACTCTTTGTTGGGCTGTCCTTGAAGACTGTTCAGAAACTGTTGCTTGTGCAAAATGCAACAGAATTAGTAACTGGAATCAGAAGGTCTGAGCATATAGCATCAATTTTGGCCCACTTGCATCGGTTAACAGTAAGCTTCTGAGCCCTTTTTAGGATGTTGGTTTTACCCTATAAAAGCCTCATGTGGCATGGCTTGCAATACCTGATGCACCATCTCTCTTGACAAAAATCTACTCAGACATTGTGATCAATATCTGAGACCTTCCTCTGAATGCCACCTCCGAGGAAGGCTTGTAAGGTGGCAGCAGGGAAGAGGTCCTTCTCAGTAGGAGGGCCTTCTCAGTGGTTCCTCTCCCCTGCCCAACAATTACAGAACTCTCTCCCCACCGAAGCCTGCCTGGCAACATAACTCTCAATGTTTCAGTGCCAGGTTAAGACTGTCCTCTACTCCCAGACATTTAGTGGCTTACAGCAGAGCATTTACATCACCTGTATTTAACAATTCTAGTATTTGATTGGAGTTTTTATTTGTTTAAATTGCTTTAAATTTTGTATGTTAAAAATTTTATATTGGGTTTTAGTATTTTGTAACTGTATTTTGTAATTATGTTGGCAGAGCCCATCCTTTCCATTCTCTGCCACTTCAGAATGCCCACAAAATGGCATCTCGAAGGACACTTTTGAACCTCGGAGCCACAGCTGGTGCAGTTCCATGCACAACAGCTGTAAGCGCAAAGAAAGGGTGTTTCTGAACCTGAGCTCCTACCTTGTGGTCATAGGATTGAGCTCTAATTGACTTAATAGAAGCTTGAATCTCTAATTCATTGTCATGGGCCTGAACTCTCTGGTTGTTATAATTATTGCTTTACAACTAGTATATAGTTATGATCATGTTGCAGAAAATAGTGGGAAAACATTATTTTACAATTAATAGTAACTGAAAAAAATGCTACATGGCAGCTGGTTTTGTTTTCCACAATCAAACACTCACTTGAGCAGCATGTTAAAATACCACATTTGCATAGTCAGCAACAAAAAGGGAAGTGAAATATTTATTTCTGCTTTACATTTTTAGTGTTTTCACTTCATGAACTTTCTAAAAGTCAAGTGTGTGAGGTTCAGTCATAGTTCTTGAGGCAACACATTCCACAGCATGGGAACAACACAGGAGAAGGCCTTTCGTGCATGCTTGACAAATGGGCCTTTGTGGACAATGAGGATCCCTGAAGATTTTAGCAAGTGGGCAAGTTGATAATAAGATAGGTGGCCCCTTAAACAGGCAGGTCCTACGATGTTTAGGACTTTAAATGTTAAATGCAAAACCTTGAATTGAGCCCAGAAACAACTAGGAGCCAGTACAGGTCTTTCAAGACACGTGTAGTATGGTCCCAATAACAAGCACTTGTGAGCAACCTAGGTGCTGCATTTTGCACAACTTATAGCTTCCAGAAGCTCTTCAAGGTTAATCCCACCAGAGCATATTGCAAAGCCAAATATTCTAAACCAAAGCATGACAACTGGCTGCCATGTCAGACCACCTCAGGGCCGCAGCTGGAGTACCAAGTGCAATAACACAAATGCACCCCATGCTACAACTGCTCCCTGAAGATCCAGAGAGCAGTTTGCAATCTACAGAACTGATCCTCCAGGGGAAGCACAGTCCATTTCAGAACAGATTGAATTCCAGTTCCCTGGACAGTCTTTCTACAGACTGATGATGCGCCTGTCAGCTTGGTCACCCTCTGGCAGTATTATCAACCTAGGCAGTATTCAAGAGGTCAATCTGCTTCCCTGATTTAAGGGGACAGAGATGTGAATCACCAGCATATTAGTGGATCCTCACACCTAAGCACTGAATGGCTTCTTTCGCTTGTATGTCATGTGATATTTACACGAATGGACATTTCATTTCACTGTTAAATGGGAAAGAACTAACCCTGTGGGACCCCACGGTTTGATGGCTATGGAATTGAACAGTAATCCCCCAACACCACCTTCTAGACATGACGTGATAAAAGGGACCAACACCAGTGCAAAAAAGGAGGGACAAGATCTGGCTCTACCAGGTACACAAGGATACCATGATTGATGGTAATCAAAGTCACGGATTTTAGGTGGTGTTCCCCACATCCAGTTCCTACATAGGTTATCAAACACCAAGGTAACCAAACTCATCTCCTGTATCATGCCTGAAAGCCCAACTGAAATGTTGCTTAGAGAATGACTATCATTCAGTTTATAATGTTAGTCTCTTGTACACTCCCCGCCGCTCTTTTTGACAAACTAAAATTCAGTGGAAATTGATGGAAGCTAAAATACGGTGGGTCACAGATAACAGACAATCTAATGACACTAAATAATTTATGAATTAGACATCTATTTCAAATTTACCTTGAAAAGAGCATACAGCTCCTCCAGCTCATCTATTGTAAAAGAGGTTTCCGTCACTATGGTTCGTACCTTTCAAAAAGTTAAAGCAGAAATGTTTAGGTTCATAAAATTAGCTGGGCTTCCAAATGCAAGAAACAGTTAATCAATATACACTCCAAAAACCTACCACATTGCGTTTGGTAGTATCTTCAAGGGTCTGGATCACCTTCAATCTTTGCTTAAATCTCATTTGTTCAATCAAATCTGCTCGTATGCTTCCAAATTTCTAAATAGAAAAATTATCATCCAGCTCAGCTGTAACATCTGCAGTATTATTATTCATGAAGCAAACCTCTATTTTAACTTTAGGTTTTACATCTTGCTCTGACAAAATAAATTTGCCCTAATCACTCAGTACTAGACGGACAGCGTGTGCAAAACATGCAAGTTTTGGGTGCAATATTAAGAATATTGGCATCATTTGAATTGGTGGAACATATTAATATTCAATAGTGCTCTTAAGAACACTGCAATGCTACACACACCATGCTAAGTGATGGGGGGTTGTCATGGATGAGCTGCAGGATGCCATGGTGTTATCTCCACATCTGGTGTGGAGATAACATGAGTTGTTTTTCACAGAGGCCACTCTGAGAACCTGTGGCCTATAGTGGGGTTCCTCAGGGTGGCTTGTTGTGATAACCAACCCTGGCAGAGTTGCTTCAGCACGGGTGGATGCAAGAGATGCCTGGCAAGAGTGACAACTCCCCCTCCCAGCTCCTGTTCACAGTCTCGGCTAGTGCTGCTGCTATCTGCCCTCCTCTTCGCTGTTGGCACTTGCCCCTTCACCAATATTAGGTAGGAGTGTCATGAGCAGAGCCAGCTGGAGTTGGGGGTCAGACTAGATGGCCCAGGAGACCCCTTCTGATGCACTCTGTTTCTATGTTTCTATCTTAATATTTTATATTTATTTATTTATTTGGAGTTTTTGTATGTCATCCCATTCGCATAAGCCTTGGGATGGCTTCCAACATAATAAATAAACAATCATATAAATAGATACATATAAAATAAAATCTGGATTCACCCTGGCTATAAAAATTTAAAACCAATAAATAATATTAACAATTATTAAAATATTGTTTAAATAAAAAGGTCTTGGCCTGGCGCCGAAAAACAAATAACGACAGTGCCAGGCGGACCGCTCTGGGGAGTGCATTCCATAAGTGGGGCGCCACCGCAGAGAAAGCCCTCCTCCGGGTACTCACCCTCCTAATATCTTTCACAGAGGGTTCCTGGAGAAGGGCCTCTGCCGCCGATCTCAAGGGGCGGGAGGGCAAATATGGAAGCAGGCGTCCTTTAGGTAACCAGGTCCCAAGCCGTTAAGGGCTTTGTAGGTGATAACCAGCACCTTGAATTGGGCCCGGACTTTGATGGGGAGTCAGTGAAGCTGGTAGAGGACTGGGGTTATGTGAGAATAATGCCCAGTCCCCATCAGCAACCTGGCTGCTCTATTTTGCACCATCTGAAGTATCCGGACTGTCTTCAAGGGTAGTCCCACGTAGAGCGCGTTACAGAAGTCCAATTGGGAAATAACCAATGCATATGTCACTGTCGCCAGGCAATCGTCCTTCAGGTAGGGACGCAGCTGATGGATCAACCGAAGCTGAAGGAAAGCGCTCCTTGCCACCGCAGTCACTTGAGCTTCCAAAGACAGCTCTGGGTTGAGGATCACTCCCAAGCTTGTACCAACAGGATCCATATTGCTTCCCGTCCCCCGCCCACCCCGGCTAAAAAAAACGGTCTTTAAAAATTGTACAAAATGTTTGAAGTGACACATTTGCAGCACTTTGGCAAGACATATGTCCTCTTTTACTCACAAATTTCTTCAATTGTTAAATAGGCAAAGCAGAAATAATCTCCACATTGCACCCATAGCAAAAGCTCTGTTCCTGTTTTGGGAGTTTATTGGAAAGGGAAGTGTTGATGTGGAGGAGGAACTGAACAGCTGGCATTAGAACATGTTATGAGAGAAGAATTTGACAAATGGCATGATTAGATGTATAGAGGGCATACTGTGTTTGGATACTGTATTAGCTGCTGTCGTAGTGATACAGCTTAAGAATGTAAATGTTGGTCCAACTCGGCATACTTGTAATGGACTGAAGGGGAGAGTGAAGCCCCTGAATCCATTTGTGCAAATATGAAAGACAAAAACAGGAGGTTTGCCAGTGTTAACATTATTCAGAAAATGGGTGGCAGCCCAGTGGCTGGGCAAGATTCCCTCTATAGGGAATGGGGTGCCAAGATGTAGTGCTTTGCAACATGTAGATTTGAAGCTATGTAGCAATGGGGAGGGGTAGAGCACTCCCTGTCATTGCAAATACAAGGACTGGAGAGGGATTCCACCACAAAGGCAGCTAGGATATGTGCAGAAGCAGACAGGAGGCCTGAAACAGAAGCCGTGCCAAATTGTCGTGCTCCTGATCATTTGTTGTGAGTAACATTGGTTGTTCAACAAACAAAGAACACATAATGTCTTATTCTCAGAACGGCTTGGTATGATCTGAAAAATGCCCTTGGAATACAATCTTGTGACCTCTGGAAGGGCACTGTAAGACATAGTGAGTCTCCCACAGCGGGTCTCCGTCTTTACCTGCAGAAAGGGAGGTCTGCAGGTCGAGAAGTTCTGCTCTTGCATGCTTCCCTCACTGCAGACACAGAGCCCCCCGACTACTCCAGTGGCAGTAACTGCAAAAAGAGTGTATTCTAGGTGTGTACCAGGTGCAGACTGGGTGGGATTTGGAACTGTTGCATCCAAATCTCTTCCATTCTCTCAACATGCCCCCGCATTGTTTGTGTTGGTGGAGACTACACCAGCCTTGGAGCTGGATTATTAAACTGTCCTCCCACAGGAACCAAGACAGGAATATTAGCAGGGACAAATGAGAAGAAAATTGAAAATGAGAAAATTACTTCTCCCTCTCCTTCTGCCCCGGCCGCTGCAAGTCCAACAGGATGATGGATATCCTGGAAAGCTCCACCACCCGAGATAGCAAGGTTGCTCAGCCAGTAAGCATCACTGAACACAGTGGATTTGCTTCCAGCCAGGAATGTATAAATGCAGGATCATACTGCATGTCTTACTAAGTTTAAGGCATACATGCATATCTAAGGGACAGGCATACCTGGGACAAGGTGGGAAGAGGAGTTTGTGCAATCAGATCTAAGTCACATTAAATACAATGGGATTTACCACCAGGTATACTGGTTCAGGATTTCTGCGTGAGATTTTTTCCTCTTCCTAGTACATAAAGCCGAACATCTCATTTGTACTGCTTTCCCCTCTCTTGATTCAACACTAGAGTTGCTGATTTTTTATTTTTTTTGGTCATTTTACCTCATAGGAAGTTCTGATGAGCCTGAAGATATCCACTTCAGGATAAGGCCCTATATCATCACTTAGTAGTGAGTGAAGATGAGGAATTGGTGGCAAAGTGCTGTCCTTATTGGTCACACTGTCCAAATACCTACAGATGGCAAGGGAAAACAACTGACACACCTTCAGGCACCACTCAACAAGTAACCTTAATCCAAGCATAAAATAAAAACTGTCCATTTTATTCCCCCGCCCCTGAATTTATTAAACACACATGCACACTCCAGGCAAGTTGAGTTTGCACTGAAAATACTTCCAAGCACTTCTGGAAAAAGCCCAAGGCACTTCATTCGAGTTATTTCGGCTATTCTTCGCAACAGCCCTGTATTGGCTACTGCTATATACTGTGGCTCAGGTGGAAAGAGAACGGCTTGCCTAAGAGCATTCACTGAAGGGAAGAAGTTAGCTAGAGGGAAAAATGTGGGCAGAGCTTGTGGATGGAATGAAGGAGTGTATGGTGCCCTCTTGGACATCTGTTACACTAAAGAAATGGAACAGTGAAAGTCTTCTGTTTGGGAACAACTGCCCAAGGTCAACAATACTGTGGTACAGAAACAACTAGGTACTGGGCAGCTTCTTATAATGGAATCAGATGATGGTGACAGAACTGGTGGGGGGGGGTGTAGATTAATTAATTAATTAATTTCTATTCCATCCAATAGCCAAAGCTCTCTGGGTGGTTCACAAAGGACATTTAAAATGACAGTAACAATACATTATATTAAAACATCATAAAAAGTGGACAAAACAAAATCTAAAGCCAAATTTTAAATAGAGAGAGAGGTATAATAATATAAAATATAATATAAAAACATCTTCAGACCTAATGAACAGTGAGCAGGTCCCAATAAACTACTTGAATCCCCTGCAGTAGAGGTTGGTCTTTACCTGGTGCTGAAAAGATAGTAAAGTTGGTGCCAGGTAGGCCACAGTGGGGAGCTTGTTCCACAGTCCCAGAGACAGCTGCTGTAGCACAACCATGGGGCCAGTGAGCAGGACGGAACAAGCCTAGCCTTCACTGAATGGCGATTATTTCATTCTATCTTATGAAAAGCCTTTGGGTGGGATAATTGCATTTTAAGGGAGAAGAGAGTCATTTGATGCTACTTGTATTAAAGCAAGCAGGATGTTCGCAATGACAAGCTAGTTTAACAAAGCAAAGAGAGGCACTGCTTACCTTCCAAGTACAGTCATAGCTTCACCATCATCTTTACAATTCAGCAACTTGTCCACATTTGCATCGAGCACAGCCAATGCCAATTGGAATATCACTTTTATGCCTTCATAAAAGAAGCAGTCCACAACCACCACAGCACTCTCAAAGGGCATGACGCTAAGGAAGAGTGTGAGGAACCAAGAAAGAGAGATCGTGGAGATGACCCCCAAGTCCTGCATGCAGTCATAAAGTTGAGGAACATAGTCTCGAGCTAACTCTTCAAACACACCTTGATCCACCAGGGCACCTGTAAGATATAATCATTAATTAAGATGTAAAATTTGAGTTAGTGCAACAGATACATGTGCTATCTACCAAAACACCAAGTGGAAACTTCTTCCAACTTGCTTACAATGAACTACAGTAGTTCTTTCATTACTTAGCCATAAGTAAGCACAATAAACCATTGAAAAGAATCTGCTTCACATAACTGAAAACTGAGTTCATTATAATCAAAATCTTCAGCCCGCTTATTTTTGTTCCTAGTAGCCTTTGGTTAATCAGACTGCATCTTTTTTGATTTCTGCAGTCCATGTTACAAATAAATACAGAAAGCCTATGTTTGGCTATGATGTGAAACAGGAAATAAAACTGAGTTTTATTTTATTTTTTCAAAAATTCAAATGTCCAACCATTCAATAGTCACCCGGCATCAGTGAATCAAATAAGGCCACTGGCAGGTCTGCTAACTTTCTGTCAATTTAAAAATAGGTGTAAAGTTATAAATTATCAGGCTCTTTAAAGACTCCTTCAACATACCAACAACTCTTGTGTTGTAGTAATCCGGCAGCATGCGCTCACACAAAGCCACAAGCAGCCAAAATGCTTCTTCTTCCTTTGCATACAAAAGCAGTACTGATGTAACAATGTTCATGGCCTAGAAAAGGTTTAAAAAAGGACATATACTTCATTTTAATCATTCAAGATAACAAGATATATTCAAGCAACAGCCCTAGTTTTTGCCCTAGTTTTAGAGAGCAGCAGTGGCACTAGGCTGCAAAGTGTTTTCCTCTCTAAGAGGTACAATCATGCAGCTGTTTGGCCATCTTTAATAAGTTATCACAGCCCCCAACACTTTCTTCCCAGGAAATGTGGTGAGGCATTAGTCATGCTGTTTAAAGACTGAATGATGCAGCCAAAGAGGATGAAAAAACCTATTGTGTTACTGTGTTAGCGGTTTTAAATCCTTCACCTTTTACAGAATATTTCCTCTAATAGGGAACTCTGGTGGCAAACTCTGATGCCCACACAGTCAAAACAAGTCACTGAGAAAGAAGAGGCATTTATCAGCATGTTTGAGCGAATACAAGAATTGCAAAAGGATAAAAAAATTACAAATCTAAGGGTACACTTCCCAGTGGAAGAGGAATTCTTTTCATAAGTCACCGAATGTTACATGGAAAAGAAAACAGGTAAGGTGAGGTACAGCAGAAAGTTATAGAAGTTGAACAGAATGGCTGGCTTGGACCTGAACCAGTCCTGTTCTCTGGGGAGGGAGGACACACAGCAACATTTTGTTGCAGGTTCCATTTGTTAAAACCTTAAGTTTTCATAAGGTTTTTGGTTTTTCAGCCTACTTTACTGGATCAAAGTTAAGGGAGAAATAATTGTATACTCATTCCAATTTATTTTGCTCCCATCGCTGAAGGTGCTCCCATCTATTTGGAACCAAAAAGTGTGCATTTTTCAACTGCACAACCAAAATAGATTTGGTTTTTGATCCTAGAGATTAAAGGGTGAAAATGTGCATTTTCTAAAAATGTGCACTTTTCAAACATGGCCACAAGTTTGGAAACTCACAGTTGTCCTTTCATTTGGGTTCCTGTTTGGGATCATGAACAGAGAAAATTAAAAAAATGAACTCCAAAGAAATTCTTTATGTCTTTTATTCTTTTATGTTCAGGATTGCTGGCATGGATGTTCATGTACGTATGTGTGAGTGTGCACATCCTCCAGCCATCATTGCATGTGGTTTTCAGGACTGGAAAGCTCTTGCCCCTGACAGAGCACCAAGAACAGGATTAGTCTTATTTTTTCCCCCTGGCTTCTGTACCAAGCTTCAAGCTACCCCATACTTTGAAGGTGTCTGTAAAGTTCATTTTCACTATGTACTTTAGCACTTATTGATGTAAGCCATCCTGGGACATCTTATAACGGACCAAGTACAAATATTGTTAATGAATGAATGAATGAAGTGTTCAGTTTTCTTCAGGGTATCTTGAAAACTTGCAAAACAGTGTACTCATCAGGCTGGCCCAAACAGCCCAAGCAAGCACCATCTATTTTTTAGTGGCTCCAAGGAAGCAGTGCAGAGGAATGAGGGCACACCATAACTGGCTTCAGTCTCCTCTACAACACTGCAAGGGATCCAGGTGCCTCTTAAACCCGACAGCAAAGCTTCTTGGGAGTGCAAAATGTCTCAGGGTAGTCCTAACACATGTGTAAGCATGGCTGCCACATTGAAGCCCATCCAATTGTGCAAGTATTGCCAATATGAGTGGATTTCTTAGCAAGAGACACTAATGCTTAACTAGCTGGTTGCACACTGAAAGCAGAGTTTTAAAAAATCTGGCCTAGGTACAAATAATTCAGTTCAATGATAAATGCAGGAGTGAGTGAAAAAATCTGGGCTCTAAATGAAGGGAGCATCAGTTACCTGACAGTATCCTATGTTTGGATTTCTAAATGCATAAGCAGTTAGTACTCTCCTCAGAGCAGCGATACCCATCTCATTCTGGAATGCAGGATGCTCTGGGAGGGAGCGGTGTAAATCCCTCTCAATCTCTTCTGTTGCAAGGTTATATTTTCCCATGGATTTCTCCACCAAGTCTTCATAATAGCCACCATGGGTGGCCATTTCATTAATAGCTCCTAAGAATGCAAGACAACAAATTGTCACAGGAGAACATAGGTTACGTACATAGACCAGGAATCAAAAGAGCTGTGGAGCTAGTTCCACGTGCCTAACAAGCTTGGGGCTTCTCTTTTCATAAACAGCAGGCCTGAAACCACTCAGCAAATTGCACTGGAATTTGGAGGATTCTCCAGAACAGTTTGTAAAAGAGCTGCGTTGGATCAGACCAAGAGTCCACCTTGTCCAGTTTTCTGTTCACACAGTGGCCAACCAGTTGTCTGTGGGAAGCCCACAAGTAGGATACAAGGTAACAGCAACCTCAAGTCCACATTCTTCCGCAACCAGTGTAACTTATACTGCCTCTGATGTTGGAGACAGCAGACAGCCATCAAGACTAGTAGCCACTGATAGCCTTATCTTCCATCCATTGGTTGAATCCTCTTTCCAATACATCCATAGTGGCTATTACTATATTTTATGATAGCAAATTCCATAGTTTAACTACACTACATTCATACCATGCACACCTCTATCACATTCCCCTTACTTGCCTTTTTTCTAGGCTAAGCAATCCCAGATGTTGTAACCTTTCCTTCTAGGGAGAATATTATGGTATACAGGGGACATCATGTTGCTGTTCGAGTAATTTTTAAAAATCCTTCTAGGCCTACCCAAGCCCTTTTATTAGGGTGTGCCTAATGTGGCTTCTGCAATCCCAGCTATTAATTATGAGAAGCAAGTCATGTCCTTACAAGAACTTCTGCCTTCAAGTTAACAGTCACTAGAGCTTTGGTTTACCATAATCCATTGATTCGCCTGCCTCTTCTTCTAAGGTCAAGTTTGTTGGGTTCAACTAAATACCCCCAAACTCCCACACATTCAAGTTACCAATTGGTAAAGGAAAACATACCTCACTAATTAAGGCTGTGATTCTGAGCGTGCTACTTAATTCCACTGAATTTAAAGACAGTGTTTCAAGAGCACCCATGCTTGGGACATCATCCTATATTCCTTTGCCTGAGGGCAAGTCCTACTGAACCCAATGGGAGTTATTTTGGAGTAGACACACAAAAGAATTGTGCTTTTGGAGACTGCAAGCTGCAGTTCTATTTATCTGATGTATCTTTCATCATTTGGATCTCCTGTTTTATATATAATGTATTCCACAAGCAGACCACCTGAGAAAATAAATATCTGACTCAAAATCATAAAACTATGTTATCGACTGATACCCACCTGACAGGAGCAGCCAGAGTTCCCCTCTCATGCTTTCAGGAATACCTTTTAGAACAAGTTCTCTTGTCTTCTCTGTACGATACATACAGATGCCTTGGCCATATTCAGCAAAATGAATCCTCCAAGCTTGCTCTTTCAAAAATTCTTTTGCCTTAAAAATATAGGAGGACATAGTATAAAATACAGAGAATCCTCCCTCCCTCCCTCCCAAACACTGACTTGGTTTGGACATGGCAGAATTCCATGAGTAAGTCACAGCACCCATGAACACCACTTTGCATAAACAGCCCCTCCTTGGGGGGTACTGTGTCATACAAACCTGGCAAGTATGGGTTATTTTATGGTTAAACAACCCTTGCATAATCCTTAAACTAATTGTGGATTATGTAATGGGTTACATATTCAAAACTCCCAATAATGCATCCAGACTTCACAAAAAATGAAGCCATCCCCCAAAGTCACTGTATTCTTTACTTCTATTTTTGGGGAGATAGGGTTCTACCAACTCTTTTTGTTTTCTTAGTATGCTCATTCCAACATCACATTTATTTGGTGCGCTCATGTTCTAATATTGCTTGACACAGAAACACACACACACAAACACGAATATATGTATACACATGCATTCATATCTGAGAAATTCCTGCAATTCGATGGTAGTTAGAAATCTCACGATGGGATTAGCTCTGAAAAAGTTAAACACTATAAAAGCTATGACTATGACTACAACAACAACCTTTTCCACATATATTCATTTAGTTAATCTATTCCTTAGTTGCCTTTTGAGACCACAATCTTCCCAAGGCATTATGCAGCCACAATTGCTTCAAGGGGATTACATGGCCCTCTAGAAGCTGTGCAGGGACTACAGGGCTGTTCACTTAAGGTGCAATCCTGTGCAGACAGAAAGAAGTCCTACAGTGCCCAGCACGCCCAGACACAGGATTTTTTTCCTGTCAAAAAATGCATCATATGCATAGGGTCGCACCTTTAATCTGTGGCTTGGCCGCCTTTCCAAGGCATTATGTGTCCACAGTGACTTTCAAGGCATTGCACTGTGTCAAGGCTACATCAATCATTGCTCCATTTTGCCAGTGTGGTGTAGTGGTTAGAAGCATGGGACTGGGACTCAGATGATCTGGGTTCTAGGCCCCTCTCAGCCATGGAGCCAACTGGGTGACTTTGGGCCAGTCACCGACTCTCAGCCCAACCTACCTCACAGGGCTGGGGGAGGGTATTGATGTAAGCTGCCTCGAGTCCTTTGTAGGAAAACGGCAGGATATAAATAGAAAAATAAATAAATAAATAACTAAATATTTTTGGGCAACAGATTCCCTAAGGAAAGTAGCTGAATCTAAGTAAGTCAGAAGAGAACAAGGGATGACTTGATGTGCCTTTCAAGTCTTTAGCTGTTATGAATATAATTTTTCATATTTAAAAACATAAAACTTGTTATTATTTCACAGCACTACCTTTTCATATGAACTATGCAGAGACTTCACTAAGAATCTTTTATTAGACCAAGAAATCCTTTCCCTACACTAAATGTGCATCCAGACAACAAGAAGGTAAAATCAAGGAACTGATCAGAACAGAACTATAATTCATTTCTTTTAAACATTAATGTAGCCAGGACTTTGCTAGCCAGCGAGATGGGGGGAGGGGAGAGGATATGACCTACTAATTTCGGATTGAATTCCTCAGGTGAACGTCGCCGATACATGGTCATTAGTGCCTGTGTTACAGTTGGGATGCTATTGCCATTCAAGTTAAACTGTCGTTCTCCATCTGCTTCAGAACCAAGGCTCCTTTGGGGGCTTGATGAAAGGATACTACTTGCCCTTGAATAGAGCTGATGGGAAGGAGGGGAAAAATTATATCATTTGCGAACTCTTCAGGTGCAGGCAGGAAGCGCATGGATAAAACTGCTTGAGCTGTGCTGGCATGATGGTGCCGACCGGGTTGTTAACTGCAGATTGCCACAAGGGGCTTCTGAGCTTTTAATAGCTATGTGGCAGGAAGCACTTTGGCCTGTGCAGCGGCTCTTGTCACAATGCCCACCCTTCTCAGCCAGCCTCAGTGCTGAGCTCGAGTAATTCAAGCTACTGAGGATGGGAGAAGGAAAGGGCAGACAGACTGCAGCACTGCGGCAGAAAAATCACTTTTGCCAAACACATTGTGCCACAAAGTCTTAGAGACACAAGCCTGAACACACCCTGCTCTCAATCAGGTGCCTGCAGCCTTTTAATTCAAAATAGAGGCCTGCACAATGATTGCTTACAATGGTAGAATTCCTGTAAAAGAATCATTAAGGAAAGCATAAATTGCACTAGACTGCAGCAAATATAAGCATCAAGGAGCACAGCATGGTTAGAGAGGCTCGGGCTGTGCCCTAAGTTAGTATTGGTTGCAGCCCTGTGTGAATATTTTACCTTCTCACAAAAGAATTTCTAAACCTTTTCTGTGGTGTCCTAAATCACAAGACTTCATCATGTTAAGAGAACAGAACAGAAGTTGAATTTCTTCAATGAACAACTTAAAGCTTTTTGAAATTACCAGACTGGCATGATTGTTAAAATTTTTGCCCAGGAGTAATCCCATCAGCTAACTCTAGAAAAGCAATACAATCACACTAACCCAGCAGGGTGATCTGGTCCACTATGCAGCAACAACAACGTGGCAACAGGATTCTCCCCTCCCCCATTGTACTTTTTATTAATAAGGAAAATTATTCTGATGAAAATTTCAAGAAACATAATTTATCAAAGTGAAAGGCAAAGCACTTTTCCTATCCGAGATGCTCAGAAAGTAACGCTGCACCGGTGGCTTCTTACAGTTCTCTGGTGATTGTGTCCAACATTTCTGGTAGCAACTAAATTGTTCAGCCACCATGCACTTTTGTGTCACAGTCCTAGGTTACTGTGGATTTCTTGCCAAACAAACAAAAAATGAAAAATGGGGATGGTCTTACAAGTAAATAGTTTGACAAATTATCAGGGAGAAGCAGAAGGAAGAATCTTTGTGGGACAAATGAACAGTCTTATTACTTGATAGTTGAGTTATTTATTTTTCATGACATTTTAAAAACATGGAAATAAAAGGAGCTAAAGAAAGAGATTCTCCAGCCCAGCCTGGTGCTCTCCAGATGTTTTAGTCAGCTGCTTCTATTAGGCCCAGTTGGTATGGGCAATGAGTATCTTGAACACTATTGTCCAAAACGTCTGCAAGGTTGACATAAATGGAACTGAGTTTTCCTTAGATTAAAAAGAGACCATATGGCATGCTACTTCTGAGCCTGGCAGAACATGGGAGAATGATAGGCCCAGGTCAAGGCTTGCTGAAAGACAAAACTGAATTGGTTTTAACCAAATGAAAGCACTCTGATCCATAGCAGACTTGTATACCTTGTCACCTACAAAGCCAAATGCTGCCCTACAATGTGTTGTGGGTTGCCTGCTGCTTTCAGTGCCCCGGGTGGTTGTGTTTATTTCAGTTCCAGAGAGAGGTTTGCCAAGCACCTAGTGTGCTGCCACACATGACTGTTGGACTGCATTTAGCCTGATGTGTCACAAGCTGTGCAAACTCATAGGAATAGCTGAAAAAAGCCCCATGGCCATTTTGAGCCAGACAAGCCAAAGGTCAGCTTACTGACCTTTTCAAGACTGTGAAAGGATTTTACTTTCAGCCTGCTGATAAATCAGACATGCGTAAACATAAGCACATATAAAGGCAAATACTACAGTTCGTGAAATCATCTGACGCAGAGGGGTGAGCTTTTGAATTGTGGCTCATTGCCACAATTTTTAACCAGTTACTGTTTTGGATCCAGATTTAGGTGGCTGTAGCTGGGTAGATGGACATAGACTTCCATGCCCCTCCAGCCTCAAAAGTGTGACACAGAAAACATTCTGAAGAATGGGGCAGGCTATGTTCCAGGGAAATGGGGGAGGGAATCCCCCAAAGCTGGGCAAAATGCCTTCTACTAGCTAAAATCCAAGTCGTAAACTTTTTGGTCTCAGTAATTTCTCTGTGCTAATTAGAATACATTTGTAATACAGACAAAATGGTTCATTATTGTAATTTTATATGTCCCCTGTCATGGTATTTTTGCTGAGTTTTCCTGCTTTGCAATTCATCAGCAAGTTGGCAAACTCTCAACAGTCAATAGCTGGCATATTGCTGACGCCAGCATCAGACAATTTCCAGACAAGATGACATCTTCTGAATCTAGATATATTTCTACATTTAACCTTAAAGCAGATGGTTTCTTTAAAAAGAAGTAATTTTCATTTTGGACTGATGGTTCTGAAATCTTAGGTCGCAGTTGCTGGTGAAAGATTCCTTGATCCTCACTTTGCAAGACTGCATATATGCCTGGACTGGCAATGACAGACTTGGTTTAGAACATGGGTTGGTGTTTGTAGATACATGGCTGAACATCGGGCTTGCATCCTCCTTTTTCCCCACCCCAGCAGCCCTTCCCTCCTTTCTTCCTCCTTGAAGGCAACCCATCATGTGTCATTTCATCCAAACTGTCACATACACTGACATGCGCGTGCTCTGCAAACCAGGATTATAAAGCAGCATTTGCTTCTGGTTTACAGAGGATGCACCAGAGTTTTATGCTTTGGGCAAAATAACAAAACTATGGTTTGCCTCAAAGCCAGGAAAGGAGAGAGAGAATTGTGTGAGGGGGAAAAGAAAAGGGGAGAAGAATGTGTGCAAGCCTGAGGCTCTTTGAAAGGTTTTTTCTTGTAGGTCTAAACCATAGTTTGATGTTATGACTATGCCAAGTCATAGCAACCACCAGTTCCTTCCTTATCTGTGTACCATGCAGTTGATGATCTGAGAGTGCTGGAAAATCAAGCTTATTTTCCAGGAGCCTTTTACATCTAGGTCCCATTTCCTCCTTTAATCTTTGAAACTTCCATACACATTTGCCACCTCAGAAATGCAGAAGCAGCTTTCTCCCTGATGTACAAGCTTTCCATGTTTGGGGAATCAATGGACAAGAATTAAATTACACTAGTATAAGGAATTTGTAGTGCAACACCCACAGCATTAGCCACAGGTTTTCTTGGGAATCATGTCATGCAAGCTAATGCTATTGACTTTGTGTTAGAGTACCTTATGTTAGTGCAACACAATTTGCACTAGTGACATTATAGCATTATGTCATAGGATACAGCACATTCCGATGGAAGCATTTTCAAATAAGCAATTTTACAGGTGCATTCTCAGGTGAAATGGGCCAATGAGAAGATTCATATTTAACTCAGCTTTTCATTAAGGATGAGGAAGACCATAAAACTTTATGTCAACAGAGCTTGGCAAACATCTGCTTCACAAATATTAGTCTTGCACACACTGTTACTTGAGACCAAGAACTCTTAATAAAATAATTGAGTTAACCTGAAATGGACTTTGGTGACAGAAAAGATTATGTTATTTACCCACCTCATCATCTGAGCTGTTGTAACTTCCAGAAATCTCTTTTTCAGAGTAGATCTTGGAAGTAGTTTGCTGGAGGAAGTCAGAAATTCTTTGCACCAGAAAGTCTCTGTCTTTTAAATTGGCAAAAAGAAATGTCATGCGGTTTTTAGTGCTGATAGATAACGGGCTGGGTAATACACTAGAGCTGTCTGCCTTTTCTACAATAGTCACCTAAGGATAGGGGTTTGGGGAGCGTGGAAGAGAACAAAGGAAAAAAAATGTAACACACACAGCAGGTCATAGTTCTTCAGGATTTGGCCATCGCACAATTTTAGGTCTGTTGCCTATATAACTATTCATTATATTTGCTAATGATTTCCTTTGCCAACCTCAGAGCAGCAAGGCTAAACACCTTCAACTACGGCCCTCTTCTGGTGTTCTATCTGCCATGCTGAAAGGACGCATTAAAAGAGGAGCACCACAACTCCATGCCTACACAATCACAACTGTTATCCTGTGCATGTGCAGGGCAATAGCCTGAAGAGGAGCACGTCCTGTATCTGCAGAGATATTCTGCATGATGAAAAACATTCTTTTCACATGTTTTTCAACACAGTAAGTAGAATGCTTTTCAAGATACCCAATTCTGTACAGTACTGGAGCTGCAGAAGTATCACATTCTTACAGAAAGACTGAGTATCAATGGTATTTAGTGCCTTTCCACTATTAGCAGAATTACCAGTTGCACTTGGGATGTTGGGATAAGGGAAGTAACAATTGTTCTTCAAAGAATAGGCAGTCCAATAACATTTTGATGTTCAATAAAAGCGAGCTAAGATCATTTGAGAGGAGTACTGTTTTCATCTTATAGATCAGTTCTTCCAGGGATCATCTTCAACTGAGCATTTAGGAAATCTCTAAATAAATAAAATACCCTAGATGAAACTGATCAGACTGGCAGCAAGCTACAAAGTAGAAGCTATATCTTATAACCATGGGCAGCTACATTCTTTCTTACAGAGAGAATGTAAAGCCCCAAACAGTCATCTTGGGAATCAACATGGGAAAAAAAGGAAGCTGCTTCATATCATGTCAGCCAAGAACTGTCTATCCAGAGAAGCCATGACTTTCCAGGATCTCGACCCAGATTCTTCTCTTCACCTGCTACCCAATTATTTTTAAACTGGAGATACCAGACGCTGAACCTTTGATCTTTTGCACGACATGCTTTTACCCTCCTCAAGAAAGTGCAATCTTATGCACGTTTAAATAGAAAAAGGTCTACAGCTGGCAGTTACACCACTTTTTTTTTGGTTTAAACAATCATAGAATTGTGCCTTAACATAGGCTCCTGAACAATTAACACGCTCTAACATGCTCTCTCTCTCTCTGTGTGTTGTTTGTATGTTACTGTGATACTTCTATTTCACCATGAATTAAACATTAAATTAAATAAATAAATGAAAGCACATTGAAAGACTCTTTCTCAAGAGCATGAAGAAAATCTCTTAAGATCTTTAAACCACTGCTTTCAGATAGTTTATCAGAAGTAATAAAAATTGCATTAGGCTCTTCAGGATAATAGAGTTTCATTTTACAAAGGCTTTAGTTTCAGTTTACACAGGTTTTTTTTCGAAATAGATTTAACGATCTATGGTCAAGCATTAGTACAGTTTTAATGTTTCATTAGCTGAAAGGGATAATTTGTTTTTTTCACTTAACATCCTGTTAAGTTGTACTCAAAGATCACAAGCGATGTCTCAGTTACTTAGATTATATTTTTTCAATCTTCTTCCCAACCAGGCTCATCATCTTTTTTAATACTAGCTTAAGCTGCCCATAATGCAACAGAGCTACATTAGCAATGTAAATAGCAGTTAAACAAGGAAAGAATTCTTGAACTGACTCTGTTGTTCCTTCCCAGCCCTCCCCACTGCCCCCATATATTATGTCTACTGCATCAATGAGACATGGATTCCTCTAACCTTTTAGTACAGCATGCTACTGTTAGGTTTACCGTGGAGGAGGGGAGCCAAAAATGTAGAGATCCCCATGGTCTTATGAGAGAGAATACCAATTTTCTACGAATTACATGCATTCTACAATGAACTTGAAAATAAAGCACTGAAGTTCAATGTCAAGTTGTGTTCTAGAAGCTAAGAAGAAATCAATGAGCTTGACTTATACCATATAATAAAAAGGTCAGATTTTATACTGACCTCTCGCAGTGGGATAATAAGGCTGCACAGGTTTTCCTCCTTGCTGCTGAAACAGATATAATTTGTAGACACAAACATCTGACCCAAAATGTGCATTTTGTTAAATGGAGTCCACAGGGTGCAATCTGTATGTCCATCTAGTTTTTCATTCTTTGGAAGCCGGAACAAGGCACGGTACCTCTCACTTTTTGCTCTGGCATCAAGATCCCTGGAGGAAGTATTTTGGAGTCTCAGTGTTCATATTCAGATTCATAGATAAAACCCACATTTTGTGGTCCCAAACATTAGCATCAAAATAAGAAATTATTTCTATGGGCTATATGCTTACACTGTACATATATTAACATGCTTTACACCAGTCTTGTAAATTAGCTTGGAGGTGGGGAAAGAGCTATTAACCTACTATCTTCCACATAGATGATTGGAAGCCCCACACTTGGAAGCTTCCAATCATCCACTGCAGGGTGGGAAGAGTAGTGGGTATCACCTGCATCTCCTCCTGCCCTGCCCTGTTCACCTGAAGGTTCTTTCTGTGTTGCCTGAGGTGGGTGGTGGGAGACACAGTTCCAACTTTCCCTTCTGAGGCTGGACTGCTGTCTGTGACCTAGAAGAAAGGAACATGCAGTGTCCTCTGGTCCTCAGACAATGAGCAGGGCCCCAGAATTGCTCCTTAAAAATGTTTTACCTGCTTGTGTTTTACTACACTGGATGAGGAGGAGGGACTTCCCTTCTACCCCACCCAGTTGCCAAGAGGCAGCTGGCTGGCAAAAGGCAGGGCCATGGGGAACTCTGTGCTTCCCCTGGTGGTCTCGTTCACTGCTGTGCTGGTCAAGGAGGTGGGGAAGTGGCTTCCACTGAGTCCAGCATTAAACAAGGCTGGGTGTGCTCCTTCCTGTCCTCCACTCACTTGCCTGGATGGAATTCCTTGTTGCTTATGGAGACTGTGCAAATGGGTACGCAGAAGGCTGCCTTATGACTTGCAGTTTCACAGTAACTGTAAGACCGATGAATGTTATGAGTACTAAGGGTAAATTCATCACTGATGGATTGGAATTGAAGCCAAAGCCACAGCCAGCCAGCGTGCCTTTTCTTGATATACACCAGAAAGGGCACATTCTAGCAAAACAGTAAAATACAATATGCAACAAATTGCCACTGGGTTATAAAAATGAAGTAGTAAATAACTGCTTACTGTTACAGGCAAGACACAGAGTACTTATTTATTTACAAGGGTTACATAGTGTTCCATATCTAAAAAGACTCTTGCATAGTAAACAATGCTAGAAAAAATAAAACACAGACTTAACATGTTTAAAATAAAATTCTGCCAGTAAAACTGTCTGGTTAGCTAGGGCAGGCTTGTTTAAATAAAAACATCTTTAGCAGGCACCAAAAACAGAACACCAGTGTCTGCCTGATATCAACAGCAGGAAGCTGTCTAAAGAGAGACAGCCTGTATGCAGAAAATTCTACTCTTCACGGCCTCCTACCACTGGTGCTATTCTGCACATAAAAGCAGAACATCAAAACATAAGAGGAGCCCTAATGAATCGAAAGACAGATGTAGTCCTAGGTGCTCACACTCTTACCTGCCGTCAGGAGTTAAGCCAGGGGACATCTCAGTCAACCTAGTGGGAACATCCCAATGACCATGAGGGTGGCTATCCAGTCTGCGACCTTATTGACTTGGCCTCTAGCTCCTAGCACTTAAGGGCAAGGAGTTCCCCACTCGCCCGAAAAGTCCCAAGTGGCACCAGGTAGTTACAACTATCAAACCACCCACTAGCCACTACTGGAAAGTTGAACATAAGCAAAAAAAAAATAGTTACATTTGCTCAGTGTTGATTTCAACTGGATATTTCGCCACACATTGCTCAAAGGTTTTGCAGTAAAGAACTGCATATCAACATCCTGACTTCAACACTTACCGTTTTAGTGCAGACACCTTTTTAGGGGACTTCTTTTTCAGTCTGGGTAGTGACCTATCTTGCTCAAAGCCTTCGTTGTCCAAGAGCTGCCTCATGGCTATGTTGGCAAGTTGCTCCATTAGTTTAAATGTCTCGTTGATGTTGAGGAATACTGAGAAGAAATGCTGGCTGGACCTTGTGCTCACTTTGATCACATCAGGTAAAAGCAGAGTGGCGTTCTTCTCAAGCTGGGTGACATCAACCCACCGGATGACTAGCTTGGCTGCGAAAAAGAAGTAAGCCACAGCAGAAGTTCAGTATTTTTAAATCACTGATAATTAAAAACCAAGAGCCTTCTCATAATTATAGATCATGAGAACATTCCTTTACATTTCGACGACTCTTGTTTCAGCACTTCGCAGTGCAATCCTATGTATGTTTGCTCAGAAGTGAATCTCAGGGTCTTCAATGAGGCTTACTTCCCAGTGGCCAGTAGCACAATGCCTGCAGGCACCCATGAGTGTGCCTGCTGCAACCCTGCACACCTTCCACACTATCCTCACCCACCTTCCTTAGCCCACCCCAACGTGCTCACTTGGGATGCCCCCCTCCCCCCTCCTGCTGCTGCCATCGACTTCCATGTTCTCCTCAGCAGACCACAATGAGGCAGCAGGACGCTGCCAGACTGGGAGCGTCCTGCTGCCCCTAGATCTCCTGATGCGCTGGATTACTGCTTCCCTGGTAGGGCTGTGGGGTGCTCGCCTGTGCATGTGTGGCAATGCAAAGCAGAGGCAGACATGAAAAGGCAGAATCCAGAAAGGCAGAGGCACTCCCAGTGTTTTGCTATTAGCACAAGGCAATGTTTGCTGGTACGCAAGAGCTCAAATGTTCTCGTGAGACCAAAAAGGTGGCCTGCCCCTGCCCTAGCACCAGTTGCTGAACACAAACAGGAAGGGCTGGCCGGCATCTGCGCTTCCTGTTCACAGGCTCACCTGGCTGGGCTACCAGAAGAACAAGAAGTGCTTACATTTGTAAATCAATATAATTGTCATCTCTCCACATACAGCAAACATCTGACCTTGCTGTCATCAGAGGCCATAGTTTAGTAATAAAAAGTGACGTGTAAGACACCCATTAAAGCAGTACTAAGATCTTTTGTGGGTGCTTCACACATAAGAGGTTAAAGAGACAAAAACAAATAGGTAGAGTTCAGAATTGATTTAGGGACTAGGAATGTGGAGGCAGAATGATGTTGATGAGCCAAATGCTAGTCAGGCAAGGTTCAGTTAATCATATTGTTTTGCAATGCAAAGCTGTCAACATCTCAGAGGATGACCATACAAATGATGCAGGCTGTGGGCATGTGTTCATCTGAAACACTGCTTACCTACAGTGGGGAGAAATTAAATTTATATACAATATTAACAACTCAATAAGAATGAGCTAATTTGCATATATAGTTTTTGATACGTGACAAATACAGCACCTGCTTCTTAACTTGAGCAACAAGGACTCATCCAAAGCAGGGAATCTGTGCAGCTTCTCCAGACCATTATGTCACTTTTTCTCGGCTTACCACACATGAAGCTGCATCTACCATGGTGTCTTTGCCACGGTCAACTTTGTACATGAGGGGTTGTGTGGTAGTTCAGTGGCAGAGCACCTGTTTTGTATGCGGGAGATTTCAAGTTCAATTCCCATCTCCGACTGGGTTTCAGCAAGAATCCTGTGCGATACCCTGGACTGCTGCTGCCAATCAGTGTTGACAATACTGGGCAAGATGGGCCCATCATCTGACTCAGTATGCAGCAGCTTCCTATCTTCCCCATAGTACTCTGGCATAATTTGCATCCCAGGTTGCCACAGAAGTGACTGCTGCGCCATTCTTAAAAGGAAATGGCAACTTTCTCTGGAGAAACAAGACAGTCCAGAGAGCAGCTGCCAACTCTTGGGCTACATCAAATGATGTCTGAAACACTGTGGGAAGATAGGAGCTTTCTTGGGATCCATGCATGCTTTTCTACATCATCTGTCACTGAACCCTCTCATTTTCATTAGTACTAGAATGATGCTACTAATAAATACAGAAGCTGCTCATACATACCTTCCCGCCCCATGAGAAAGGAATAGAAACACAAATGGTTAATGCTGAGATACATCCAGCCCTGACGTGGGACCTTCCCTTTCCAATAACTGCAGGAGTAGTAATTCACCAGCTTCTCTTCCTCAGGCATCCCAAAAAGTTTGTGGAACTTGACGATCGCCTCTTTAAATTTTTCAGTGTCATCATCCTCCCTGATGCCATTGATTTTGTTATATTCTGCAATGATGCCCTAAAAGATCACACAGAACAATTTGGCCAGCCCAAAATAATCTGTGCGCTTTGTGTTTACATTCCAGCATTGAAGTACACAAGACACATATGCCTCTAATATATGGATCAGCTTACCAAAACCACACAGAAAAGGACATTGGAACGCAAAGTCTAAACAGATAAATTGAAACTATTCAGGATGTCACATAGGCCTTTGAATAGAGAAACTGAGGAATTTATACGGCCAGGATCCCAAGACACACAGCGAGATTCACTTTGCCAAAAAGTCTTTAATCTTAGTGTGCCTTAAACAGTATCACCCCGCACTGCATGGCAAACCAAACTGATTTCAAGCAGACCCATGATATGGCTGGTATGTGCATACCTGCTGTTAAAAGGTAAAAGTCCACTGGGCTAGCAGTAACCCCTAAAAAGTCCCTGGAATAGCTCTTTGAATTTTAGCTTATCTACATACGTCCATGTAGATGTGGCTGTTTACTTCCTCAATCTAAACTACATTGTTAATGGAAAGAATGCTTTCCTAAAACCAAAGTACACAAACCAGCAAATCAGGAATTAAGGACAAATTGCATAATAACTTTTCCCAGTCATACACATAATTAACAGTGCTGATGATCCATGTGCTACCTGTATTTTTCCTCTGACAAATGTGTTTATGTCATTTTCATTTTCAAAGATAGAAAGAGTTTGCAGTAAATTCTGTTCAAGCCATTCCCAATGTTCAGTTATTTCTTTCCTTGAACAACCTATAACAACAAGAAAAAAATTACAGAGGATAGCTGGAACTTCATCATGTGCCACACACACACAATACCCAATAGGTTTGGTATGACCATTATAAGTGATTATCAAGAAAGGTACAAGAGCACATTGTGCATTTTGAAGCAAACCAGCAGAGGAGAATATTTTTGTTCAACAAAATGCCATGGATCACTTTGGCTGCAAAGGAAAACTATGGTTTAGTGTTACATGAAAATAACATAGCTCATATGCCATAGTTGTGAACTTGCATGTTCACCACTACTCAATCCTTCACTTTCACAAAGGAGAAAATCTACTTTCAAAGAAACCACTCTTCACAAACTAGAGAAACTGGTTTGTTTGAAATATAGTTTCAGAATGATCCAGGATCAGAAACCATAGTTTAAACCTGGTATGGTTTCATTAACCATTATTTAAACAAACCATCTGTTCTTGAGTTTAGATGTTCTGGGGAACTGGAGGAGAAATTTTACGTTTTTCTCCTCATGGGCTTGGCAGAAGAGGGGAGAAATAGAAACCTCAGCTTTGGAGCAGCTTGTTCACATAGCACTTTGCTACCACACTGAACAGTGCCTATGTGAACAGGGGGCAGATTAGACCTTACCAGACTTGACTATTCCTTTGTTGGCAGACTGGATGCTCTTGGTTATTTCTGAAGCCTTGGTTATCTTTCAACAGAGGAGTTAATGATTTTCCAGCACTCTTAGAGGACAATGTAGAAATTCAGGCCTTAATTGAATCAGTAATCTGGTAGCATTCTGTCATTCCCTTCCTCCCAAAGTAGAAGCAGAAACAGGAGTTTGTACTCTTTAAAACTCAAGCCTTCTGGCTGGAAAATAATTGTTCTTCAAGGAAAGAAGAGCCCATTATTATCACCTCTAAATTGCAGACAGAGAGGATGAGGGAGAGACTGGACCACATCGCACACTGCAGATGGGGAGTGGTCTATAGCAGAGCAGTTTACAAGACCCCTGCTCTACCACATGCATGCAGATACACCATGCTCCCAGGATACAAGAGATCTGCAGAAATTCCATGTAACACCAGAAATTAGAGGGGGTATCTAGCTCTAAACCTTAGAGCCAGCAGCTCAGGAACAATTAAACAAACCAGGTTAGGCTTTTTGTGTACAATTCTTGAGGAGAAAGAGTGTGTGGACTGGAACTATGTTATTTTATTTGCTCTTGCAATATCAGTAAATGCACAGGAGCACAATCCAGGATGTTGGGAGTTGAGTGCTTAACTTCAGCTGGATCATACTGCTAAATCATACTGTACTCCTGAATTAATCAAAGTGTTACAGTACTACATTCTATAAATCACTGAAGATCTTGTTACAACAGTGCCATAAAGGCACAGATATATGCAATGTGCAAATCAATTATTTCCTATCTACTAAATTATAAAGCTAACACAGAAATTATTTCCATGGAACTGCAAACTTAAGCGTATCTCTGACATTGTTCTTCTGCTGAGGAATGAGATCATTCTGGGCAGCTTCCAGGGAGGGCTGGCATTTCAGCTCCGCGCTTGGAAGACAAATCATTTCCGAGAGCCTACATAATTTAAGCAGCAGCAGCAAAACCATGTAACTGATCATCACATTTGACTTTGCTTGTGATTATTGTATGAAAATGTATCATTATAAGTCTGAATGTGGCTTTAAAAACAGAATTATTCTTCCTGTCACTTTTACATACCTACAGAGATACGTATAGGGTTAATACTTAAATTAAAATCACTAGGGAGGTGCATTGGGGTTTTTTTAATGGCTTGTCTTCTGTCAAGCAATAAAAATACAGTGACACCACAGCATCTCTGTCTCTGCTCTGTAGTCATCTTTTAAATTACTTTATTTTTACTATTATAGCTGAGGTTACATTTTAGCATTTCCAAATATCACAACCACTATTCACACACTTAGTTTTTTGTTTCTGCTTTTTAAATTATTCTCATTAAATCTGGAGCAGAAATGATAAACAAAAAGCCTGCAATCTGTTACCTTTGTTCCACTTTTCTTCTCCGCCAATTCTAGTTACTGGAGAAGAGTGGCTATCATAAGACTTATCAAATGAAAGAACACTACAATATATTTTCATGGGACAAAGCAAGAGATAAAAATGAGGATGATTTGCTGATGAAAAGCAGCGCAGTCTAGCAAAAAGAAAGAAAGAAAGAGAGAGAGAGAGAGAGAGAGAGGGAGGGAGGGAGGGAGAGAGGGAGGGAGAGAGAGAGAGAGAGACTTTTTAACAACTTCCTTGCTGGCCCTAAAAAGAAACAACCAAACTCTCACAGCGGCAGCATTTTGATAGGAATATTTATACCAGGCTGGGCAATTGCCAAATGTTTTGGCTTGCAACTCCCATCAGTTGTAGTCAGCATAGCCAGTGGTGAGAGACCAGGGAGTTATAGTGAAAAGTATCTGGAGGGCCACAAATCACCCACTTTTGTGCTGTAACTTATTCAGTTCTTAATTTATTTTATGCGGTGTGGGTTATGTAAAGAAGGAAAGCCAGAGAAAAGGAGAAGGTTATTGTAGACTGTAAATCTAAGACTGCATGTTTGAATGTTTAATCTGCACTCAATAGGTAGTTATTCCTTCCTTGCTGGCTTTTATAAACCAGGAAGGACAAGGCTCTAGTACAGAGGTGGCTGCACCTGTCCAAGCACTCTGTCCACATCCTTGAGCTATACCAACTGAAACTCAGAAAAATCATGCAATAAACTCATAAAATAACTCACAAAACTCAATAAAACTGGATCAGACTGTGCCTTGGATAGCTCCACCGACTCAACTGCTACAACTCAGGAGTCCAGGCACCAGTGGAGAATGCAAGAGATTTTGCCCTGGAAGTGCCCACTGAGCAGATCCTGAGATGGTTTCAAGGTATCCCTGGGGCCAGAATGTAATAAGCCCTGGATGATCTTGAAAAGCTCTGCTGGGCAGCAAAGAGAAGTTTGGATAGAGGCAGTGAAGTATTGTTCCTTTGCTACTCTCACTGCTTCTAAATACACCCAATTGTAGGCATATTCCAGGTTTCTCTTGCATTCACTGTGAGGTTTCCTCCATCTGCAATCCAGCTGTCTCCTGAGTTGTTTCATCACGCTCAGCTACAGGGTGTATCATAGAGCTCTACAACAGAAAGGGAGCTTAGAAGCAATGATCTTAAACACAATGTGAACAAATCATAACTGCAGGCAAAAACATAAAATAAAGTTTAAAGAGAACTTTTCCAAAAGGATCTACTGACTTAATTAAAAATAATTAGTGTTCACTAGAAGTGCAGTATAGTGCTTTATGAGTTCTACTAAAAAAATCCATTAACAAGTTTTACTGTGTACCCAAATGAGAAAAATAAATCAATCTGATTTCTTTGGAGATGTGATTACATTTTCTGACAAAAACAAAGATGCAGCCCTTTTCTCTTCCCTGTACAAAAAGGCTGTCGTGTGATTTCTGGACATAGCCTGGTTAATAACAAGAAAGACAGGCTGTACACAGCTCTGAAATTTAGTATTATGAAAGATGTTTAAAACAAATGAACAAACAAGCAAATAAATGAATACATTCTACACAATGTTAACCATTACTTTGTAAACTCCTTTTATACCTGAAGAGGTTAACATTGATCCCAATCGTTGCCACTATGGATACAAGTTAATGCTGACAAGGGAAAGGAGGGGGGAATTGTTGTATGGATGAGGAAACAGACAAGAATACATTATGATGGCCCATTTACAGTCTCTTAATTGACAGTGTTATGTCTGCACTAGGTCACAGACGACCCTCAGACTACACTAGTTTGCAGTTGGCTGTATGTCAAAATAATTGCAATGCCCTATTATAGAACAAATGCTTGATGGGATTCAGTGGCATCCAAAACCTTTGCAGCCTAATAACAACAAAATGTATACAAAGAGGCTTACATTTTTTTAAATTCAGCCACTGCCCTGTACATTGCATCCCCTCTTCTGCCTGGGCACAGAGTCATTGCTTTTTCAGTGGCATCCCCGTCTATGAAATTCCCTCCTAGGAGAATCTATTTTTAAATGTAAGCAAGGGCACAATCTAATTGGGATGCCCAGAACCCTCCAAATTCGGAGGATTGTAGACATCCTATGGAAGAAACATGGTGGCTAAGATTGGCTCTATGCTCCTCCTACCCTGCAAAGCATTTCAGTTTTGGCCACCTGAATGCTTTGAGGGAGGGAAGAAGGCTGAGGTGCTACCAGAATACTGTACATGCTGATGGTACCTGTTTCCTCCCTTCCCAAATGCTGGAATGCTCCCCAAACCCATTCTCCGAGGCTGCTCTGACAACCTCCGAAGCAGCTAACACAGTTCTTTCTTCTCTGACGGTGAGGGAGAGAGGGAGATCCAAGCACAGATGCTGAGCTATGAGGTTAAAGTGATTTCTGACCTTGCAGATGGGTATCTGAAATCTCCTGTGGCTATCTAAATGCTGTCTAGCAGTCACAGGGCTGAGCTGCCCAAGACCTTTCTGCTTACAGAAAGCCTGGTTTGTTGGCTTTGGTAATTTTAGATGAGATTATTTTTTTTACACTGTAATTATGTGAACAAGATACCACGATTTTATGGTTGTTTTATAGGCACTTCTTTTCTTAGTACTGTAAGTTGTTTTGTGTCCCTTTTGGAGAAGGGGAGGAATACCAGGATTCTAAATAAATGAATGAATAAGAAAAACATTCTGTCCTCTGGCAAACTTCAACTACAATCTGCACACTCACCACAGGCAATAGTCCAATATATCATAGAATCTGGAGCCTGGTACAGAATGCGATATGGTGCTACTCTTGCACTTGAATCTAGCACAACATCAAGAGTTCCCACAAGGAGACCTGGAGGAAAAGAAATTCCATGGTGAAAAAGGTCAGCATCTACTGGTAGTCATACAAACTTGAAGCAAAATGGACTATTTCAGCCAAGAACATGTTTGCAAAGCAGATTTAAAAATATGAAAGTAAAAACAGGTATGGTAACTTGATTGTTGTCCTTGGATGCGGCTGCTCTGAAGTGCTCTAATTTCCTTGAATGGTCTACATGAAGCACATAAAGTTTGCCAGCACTCATTATATAAAGCAAGCTAAATGGAAGAAAAAGTAAGCTCGGATAGGTCCAAATTAATCTTCCCATGTGATCCCCCCCCCCCCCCGCCACTGTAAGGAGTAGGGACGATCAGTGTCCTACGGGGATGTCCATACACCTCCAAACTCAGAGGATTACAGGCATCCTATGCAGGGTATGAGGAGTAGAGAAGTGACAGCTACCTGCAAAGCTGATTTTGGCTGCCACACTTTGGAAGGGGAGGAAAGGTGGGTAGGTCATGGGAGCATTCAGCAAATCTGGGTAGTGCGAGGCCTTCCCTGCTCCCGCTAAACAAAGTGATGCAGAGGTGTCAGCACAGTTTTTCCTTTGCCAGAGTTTAAAAGGCCATAGCATTTTTTTTAGAGCCCCAGTGCTGTCAGAAGTAAAGCAGATGCCTTGCATACAGAAGGTTCCTGGTTCAGTCCCTGGCATTTCTAGTTAGGAAGAGGTTGCACATGCATACAAGCTGAAAGACCTCTGCTCAAGATCACTCAGCATCTCTTTCAGGCAGCACTTAGCTAGAAAGGAGAAAAAGGTATAGCATTTGGCATAAAGTGGCTTATGTTTCTAACTCTGCATGCTATTTCTTTGAGGATGTTTCTATATTGCTTTTTATTTTTTTAAATTACAAAGTGGTTCATAGACAATATCATGATAAGATGCCATAAAACAAATCAACAAAACAGTAATAAAGTAATAAAATATTTCCTTAAAATAGGCAAAGGTAGATAGCAATGATAATGATCAAGGATTGTGAAATCTGAGCCAGCTTTGGGAAAAACCCTCCTTTCCTACAATAATGTATTTAAATAAGAAGGTAATATACAGTATGTCTAATTTTAGTTGCAGTATACTGCATCCAAAGGTAGTTTTCAGCACACCTAAAAGTGTCTCTCATCCAGGGACAGGCTGTTGCAGTGATTGAGTACAGCTTGAGAAGAGGAAAACTAAATTCCTTACCTGGAAGCATGAGAGCTTCCTCAGAATATTGATGATGAAGAGAATACTGTATGCACTTTTCTGCTAGTGTATAAACAAGCACTTGTGAAGCAGTGGCAGTAGCTTGTTTCATTCTGCTCACCACCCTGAAGAATAAAAAGCTTCCCTTTGTATTGTTCAGACTGATGGGTTCTCTTACCGTAACTTTACCCATGCAAGAAGGATACAAGCCGATTTTTTTTTAAATTACTGCAGACCATTAATATATCTCTTTATCATGCCTCACTACTCCACTTCATGCTTTTGGGGCTCAAGAACTTTGTAAATCTGACCACAACACAGTGCCTCAAAGTCTCTCAGTTACTGTACAGTCCAAGCAATGAGCCAGCAGTTGAAATGTCCCCACATCACTCCAGTGAAACTTTCAGTAGGCATACATTCAGTTCTCTCTCTACCCTAGAAATGTATCTGTTCTTAGTCCTTTGGCCAGGAGTAAGTAATCTCTACCATTAGCTGTTTTCCTTTCTTCCTTCCCACCTTGTCTTAGTCTCAGTCAATACAAGAGGCAGAGACTGAGCAGCATTAACATATTGAACTCCACTCTGTTCATACGAGTGATAAATAATTAAGCATAATTTGAGATGTTGACCTTGCTTGTCATGTCCCTTAGTTGGCCTTTGCTGTACATAAAGGAAATGCTACACTGAGCATTTTTTCAACACTTTACTGGCATCCTGTACATGTATTCAGACACTAACTTTCAGGGATATGTGGAGTTTTCCTCTTCTGATAAGCATTCCTCTTAATTTATAGCAAAGAATATCAGAGGTGGCCTTTATATGCTTGGTCACAGGGTAAGGAGAGGAATATTCCCAGCAGAAAATGCAAGGTTGCCTGCAGCCTAGCGCACCCTTGCATCTGTCACGTAAGGGACAGAAAAGGAAGGCAAAGCAAGCACTCACTGCATATTGAATATAGCAGGGGTGGCCAAACTGAGGCCGGTGAGCTGCGTGCAGCTCTTTGAATTTATTTTGTGGTTTGCATAGGGACTGAAATGCATCAATGTGTGATTCTGCTTGGAACTCATGAAAGAGGAGCAAATGGGAGCACTCTCCAGTGAAGCCACTAGACTAACTAAGGCACTCTCGTTTTCCAACCCTCAACCAACTGGTGGGGTGCTGTGACTGGCCAGTCAGGGTGTCAGCCTGGGCCAACGGAAGTGAGGCGTGCGTGCGGGAAGGACAAACTGGTGAGTCTGGCTTAGAGCCAGAGCAGCACGTGCTGCTTCCACGACAGGAACTTTGCTCAAACTCACCTCTGCAGAGGCTGCTATAAAAATGGTGTGAACCACAGAGGTGGTTTGGATGCTGTCGTTTGACTTCAGCCTACCATGGAGGGTTGTTGTGAAGCTAAAAAAGCAGTTTGCCCTTCATGTGCACCATCCTGAGTTCCCTTTTTTTAAAAAAGGGGCAACACAATTGTAACCTATAATTGGTAACGCTCCTCTTCTTACTGGACAAGCTGATTGAGTGTCTTGTTATTCCTTGGCTTGGGGAAGGGTTTGTTGAGGATAATATCTTTGCAGCAAGCAAACCTTTGAGTCTTATCTGCAATACATCACTTGTAGCGATGTCTGTTTGGTCAGAATAAATTAATAATAAAAAAATGAATATTTTTTCATGTCTTGTGGCTCTCAAACATCTGACATTTACCTGATGCGGCTCTTCCATTGAATAAGTCTGGCCACCCCAGCATATTGCAATCATGTTTCTTATTGCCACAGTGCTATTTCTCAAAGTAGGGATAACAAATACTTGAAGTGGGCTCTGGACCACAGAAGGTTACATCATAATAAATCTGTTAGGCTTCTGGCACATTGAAGACTCTTCTGGTTTTGATGTCACAGACTAATACATGAAATGTGGCTTTAACTGGCAAGACAACAGTAACACTGAAAGAGTACATGGACAAAGGGATAGGGTTGCGGGAGACTTTGAGAGATTCTCCTATAAGGCTTCTTCAAGCAATGCAGTTAAACTGAAGAAAGGATGAGGCTGCAAGGGATAATTCCTAGAGCATGCCATACATCAAAGGAAAGGGAGAAAGAAGCATAGATGAAACTGTGAAAAGGAAAGAAGTAGATATCACATTAATATCTTCATGTTTCCAACACTATATTCTGCTACAGTGATGATCAAGCTCTGAGAGTATGGGCATGGGGGACAGGGGAGAGAGAGGAAGATAATTGGTGGTTGGCTTCCACAAAAACTTATTTTCCCAACAGCTTGGTTAGAGAAAATCTGACAATCAACCATGAAGAACCTTTCGGTTATCGTCTCCCATCAAAAACAGTCACTTGGCAAGCTACCGGTTGGCCATTCCTGATTTAATACATAGTAACGTGGTGCTGACAGATATATTTCCTTGTTTTCCTTCTGTTTTCCATGTTTTAATCAGGGCTTAATTTTTGCTTCTTCTACTGCATCTCCCCCTCTGCTACCCTGCCATCCTGATTGTTCTGTGTGCCTCCTCCCTGTTCTACGGTTTCTACCACCTATCCCAGAACTTTACATTTTCTGTTTAATACAGAAGTCTTTAAACACTACCCCAAAATATTTCATTTTCAGTGTCCTGTTACTTCTGTGAACAGATACCATACCTTGCAATTTATCATACTATACACATAAGATGTGTGATCTGTGAACAAAATGGTTAGCAAAATTTTCCCTATTTTGAGGAAAACTGTTGCCTATGAATCACAAAAAATTGCATGATTTTAAACTATGCAAAGGGCAGAATTGTTCCACACACTTATGCTTCCTGAAAAACTGGTCATGCACCATTATGCATCAGTTTTGAATTCCTGGCTGTGTCAGAGACCAGCTGATAACAATTCAGTGGAACAAAATAAAAAGCTCTGTCCAGACTGCTCAATGTCTGGTACTTGTAACTTTAAGCATATAATTTTATGCATGTTTAGAAAGAAACGTGCTACAACTTCCAGCATTCCCCAGTCAGCGCTTGCAATGTCTTTTGACATGGAGGTGACCCCGATTTCTTACAGCCATCTTTACTATTATCTGACAAACTACTCCTGTTCTGCTAGTGGTAATGAACCATAAATCTCACTGCAGTAGCATCTCCCTTGGAAGACAATCCACTTTGAGAGTAGCATTACCATTCTAAAGACTATACCTTGAAATGTGTCTTAATGTTTAGATGTACATACACTGCATAATAAATTAGCAGAGGGATGGAAATAAAGCCCTGATCTGCTATTAAGAGTCAGAGTTTAAGCCACAGTAACCCATCAAAAGCTAATGTCTGGTAAAGACAATGGCTTCCTCTACCATATTTCACACCCATTCTCTTTCAATGTATGTTTGGAACTTTCATCTAATGCCAGGTTTTCCTGGCAGCCATGTCAATGAGTTGTTATGTCAACTGTTGCACATTTAAGGAGGAGGAGCAAAAGCCAGAGCACCTAACCTGGAAAAAGGACTGTTGGCGATTTACCCCCTGAATCCTTTTCCTGTCTGACGCTATGCAGAAAGGAAGATGTAGCAGCCAAGCAGCACATTCACATCGGTGGCTTCACAGAGAAGCCTCATTCCTTGTAAACTGCCTTCTGATGCTTGGTTTTCCTGGCAGCCACTTTGGTAGGCTTACAGTTGGCTCTTAGCAGTGAGCAGGGTATCAGATAAAGACTAGCAAAGATGACTTCAGTGAGAGGAAATAGACACATTAATTACTGATGTTTTATTCACTTTACCTAACTTTGCTTTGAAAACTGTCAAAGGCATGGTGTAAGAGT